CTTTTCTTCCTATGTTGAAAATTCTGGTTGCTATGGCAACACATAGACTGAAAATATGGCAAATTTTACACGTAAACTGAATCCAGTGATAACTCAAAAAGTACTGGAAATATTTTTATGAAACTTGACATATGGGTAGATAGCAGTGTTGAGATTATGCATGTCTTATCTGTTCTTCCTATTTTGAAAAAATATCAGTTGCCTTGGCAACAAATAGGCTTAAAACATGGCAAATATAACAATATTTGTGGTAAGTCAAAAAGAGCTGAAAATTTTTTATGAAATTGCATCTTTAATTCAAGAGTTATCTCCTCTTTAAGAATTTTGCTTTTAAAATGTTATATTTTGGTAACAGGGATGTTTCAAATATTAACTTTAGAGTGTCCTTCAGTCCGTCTGTGTTTCCTGTGATCACTTTTAAAGAACTTTTCCAACAAGTTTACTTAAACTAGAGAAAAATTGAAACATAAGTGAATGGCCAATGGCCCTTCAGAATGTTGATGGGGTTCTAACCGGTAGGGGACTTATGGATTGCTTGCAATACTATGATAATTGGATTGAATAAAATCGCAAGCGTTTCTTTCATAATTAAAAATGAAGAGATTGTAATAAATATGATGTACTTATATATATATATACCTTGTTAAACGATTATTACCAATGAGCATTTAGCTGTGGTTTTAATAACTTGATTAAAAGTTTTTCTTTTTCTTCTCTAAAATTGTCACTTTCGATTAATATCTTATATAGAGGGAAAATGCTAAATTTACCTCCTGAACAATTATGTAAATGTTTATTTACTTGTAACATTCTGAGTTCTTCAGTGTTTGTTTGTTGCCTATGTAAAGTCATACGTTTACATAATTCATTTTTTGTTTGGCCAATATAAAACTGTTTACAGTTGTCACAAATTATTGAATATATCACATTTTTTGAAACACAGTTCATACTTTGTTTTATCTTAAATGTCTTACTATTACAAAATTGTATTTCATTTCCTTCTATTAGAGAAGGACATGTATATATATGTATTCAAAAACATTGTCAAATTTCATCAATATGTGTGCGCAATCAAGTATTAGCATTAAACCCTCGGAAATTGAAATTATATATTAAGGATTATCAAAAAAAAATGACTAAATGTCTTACAATTCCATATTAGAACAGAAGAGAGCGGAAGAGAGCAAAAGATATTTTATTATTAAGCATTACAAACTTATCGCCCTTATTCCACACACATCTTTTTATCATGGAATTGCTTAATATGCCCAATTGTTTATAATAAAATAGAGTAAATTTAGGAGGGAAGTTGATATTATAGTGACTTCTTTACAAGAAATTTATTTCCTGATACATAAATAACGGTCTAAAAATCTTTCTTTTTTTTCTTATTGTAAATGTCACATCAAAGTCGTCAACATTTTAGGCCGGGCAGTTTAAAAATCATATTTTTATAATTTGAATTGATTTATCTTTTTGTATATAATTACATAAAATTCTTTGTTGTTGTTGTTGTTTTTGTTTTTGTTGCTGCTGCTGCTGCTGCTGCTGTTGTTGTTGTTGTTGTTGTTGTTGTTGTTGTTGTTGTTGTTGCTGCTGCTGCTGCTGCTGTTGTTATTGTTGTTGTTGTTGTTGTTGTTGTTGTTGTTGTTGTTGTTGTTGTTGTTGTTGTTGTTGTTGTTGTTGTTGTTGTTGTTTCATTCTCGTAAAATGGTTACTTGCCATACTGGTGTTTTAATTTGCTACAATGTAAAGTTGTCAGAAATAGTGCTTTATCTGTTATAATCTTATATATATCTTTATTAATTTTGATTCTAGGGCTTTAAGCAATTAAATTTATATACTTGCCCCTTTTTATGACATAATTGAGCCGCGCCACGACAAAACCAACATAGTGCGTTTGCGACCAGCATGGATCCAGACCAGCCTGCGTATCCGTGCAGTCTGATCAGGATCCATGTAATGTTCGCTTACCATTTCTATTACAAGTAGAGAAACTGATAGCGAACAGCATGGATCCTGATCGGACATGCTGGGCATGACTAGGCTCATATCCTTTTCTGGGACTGTATACATAATATATATCAAAGCACTGAAAATATTGTAAGGAACGGAACATTGCATGACTGAATAAAATATATGATTTCCCGATCTAGTTAATATGCCAGTCATTCGCCTCACAACAGTCAAATGAAACTGAAATAGTTCAGGACTGATGTATTGAAGCAGAGTAGTTCCGAAAACAGTCAAATGAAGTAAAAAATAGTTTTCAAATACAAAATGTATTCATATGCGGATTACATACATTCATTTAAATATCGCACTTGCCTGATATAGAGGATATTGAGTGAGTGTAAGTTAAATACTGAGTTTATTGCACGAGTTGAATAAAATTATATTATGCGAGCCTCTGGCGAGCATAATATTATTTCATTCAACGAGTGCAATAAATTCAGTAATGAACTTACACGAATTTAATATTCTATTTATCACACATCCAAAATAAAGACCGTTTAAAGTGAAATAAGAGTTACTTTTCATTGACGCGCCTATAGTATAACGCTAACATTTAGCGCGTCTGTATAACGCTAATGACGTCACGTCAAAATATATGCATGGCCGTGCAATACCATTTTTACGGAGTTGCAAAATCGATAAATAACAGTTCTATATCTAAGCCTGCTACATTAACGCATCATATGTCAGTAACATGACTGTATTACATTCATCATTAATGGGCTGAAATGGAATTTAATATCTGTATCAGTTCAATATTTCCATGTGTATAACCCGGTTGATAAGAAAGGCATAAAGTATTAAATAGTGTGAAAATAGCCTCGTTTTGAAATATGCATTGGTTTACTGCTCAGACTTCACTTTTAAAGACCAGTTATGCCTCTGAAATGCTATCATTTTAACTTTTCAAAAAACTGTTTATTTTTAGTATCTTGTTACAGTAATGTTTCCTTAAACATGCTCAATTGCTATATACATGAACTATATTTTGCTTCTCTGGTTCTGGTGGGATTTGGTATAATTAAAGTGAATTAGTATTTTGTATGAAAGTCTACATACTGCTTTGTTTACATTTTGCTATCTTTACGACACACGTCTGCGTGTTTAGCGCATTTTCAGTTGCAAAATATGTAATATGCTCTTAATCCATTATTTAACCATTACTGAGCACAGGTGGCAGTATCAGTGTTTGGACACCCCACCCCTATCTGCCCCTGGACCCTTACTACAACCCTGAAAAAAACAATTCAACACTCTAAGGCTTACTATAAGGTACCAAATACAAAACCACCGATGAAATTATATATAAAAATTATTTTTTTCCACTATCAAAATTATAGTTATAGAAAGGTGAAAAGCCTACTATATGTTCATTTGCCAAACAATGTGGAACACGGGAAGTTGTCGTTTTGGCGACTGAGGCGCATTCCGGCGGGATTTCGCTGCATCATTCATTAACATCAATAAAAGAACTAGAATTTCATCGGTGGTTTTGTATTTGGTACCTTATAGTAAGCCTTAGAGTGTTGAATTTTTTTTCAGGGTTGTAGTAGGGTTCCAGGGGCAGATAGGGGTGGGGTGTCCAAACACTGATACTGCCACCTGTGTTACTGAGCACATGCTTGACATCTTAATGATTTAAAAAATATGGATTTCTGAGGCATTATGTGTTTTTGCAATACATTGTAAGATTGCAAATACATACAGTAAGTTCATTCATTATAATTATATTGTCAGTAATATTTTTTAAGATTCACTTTGAAAGTTTTTGAAACATTGCTAATTTTTTTATGTCTACATCAAGTATTACCCGCTCGAATTTATTAAATATCAACCCTGATGCATCACATTTCAATAATCATACATGCGCAGATTTTTTTTTAAATTTCTGTGAATTATTTAAAGAGCAGCGCGTTGTGCAACATTTTAAGACTGGAAAATGCAAAATAAGGGAAGTTACAAACGCTAGGGTGGGTTTGGATTAGACAAACTCCGCGCATCGGTTACGCTACGGCCAGTAACCTGTAAGGGGAGATCACTGCGTAGGAGATTGTGGGTTAGAGTGGGTAAAGGTGGAATGAAGGCTTAAAACTGCCGGAATTTGAACTCACTGCGATGACTGAAGTCGGGTGTGGGCTAATTATTAACATCAACGTAAACCGTTGGGGATAATAGATGCCACGACACGGCGTCACCCACCTGGCTGAATTTTGTAATTTTATAGAACCACCTCGTATTGAGCCCCCCCCCCCTTCCCCCGTAGATAATGAGATAAAGAAGTAAATTAAAAATTCTTGAAAAGGATATGATTTCTCGAGAACAGAGAAAGCAATGAAATGCAGACTCATGTCTGTTTATGAAATATAATAAAAATACAACATCTCTCACGCACCCTATCACTGGCATCTTCAAAATTAAAATATTTGAATTTTTTTATCCCGATGAACTAGGGAATCTTTAGTTTTCTATTCAACACATGCAGATATAGTTTTATGTTTACTAACGTTATATCATTTAAAAACTTCATTTAATTTCCTTTGCTCCAAACAGTATGTCAAGCATTAATCAAACTTCAATATGATATTACGATAAAGCTGTTTCATTACACCAATTCTTTTACCAAATCTATGCTAATGGATTTATCTAAAGCACGTGACTGCTTACCATATGGCTTAATAGTTCTTAAACTTAAGGCTTATGAGTTACTGTTTCATATCATACAACCTACGTATAATTTTGCTGATGTTTGCCTAATAGAAGTCTACTGTAGTTTACGAATTTTATTTAATTTTTTTTTTCAAAAATTTAGTTTCGTCTTTATGCTTATACAGCATAAAAATGTTTAATGTTAATTTTGAACTCTTTAACTAACTTTTCATTACTTGGTATAACATTCTAAAAAATGATAATATGCGTATAAATACATATTTAAAAAATAATTGAATTGGTGTTTAAAACTCTTTGTGTTGGTTAGGAATATTTAGGTTCATATGGATAAAAATGGCTGACAAATCCAGTTCCTCAACTCATGAAATTACGTACTATTTAAACGTTGAAAATGCAAAAGTACTTGCCTTTTTGATGGTATCTGGATTTGTAGTTTATCATGGGTTTATTCATATTAAATACAGTAAGTATGTCCGGTTGTGGAAATGTAAATATTTGTAGCAGCCGAGGTCAGTGGGTGGGGAACCTGGATACCAGAAATCTGTTGTAACCTGCAGAAAGCATTTGAAGCAAACTGATGTTTTGATTTATAAAATTGACATGTTCTTAAAGTACATAAGGCTAGTGGTATGACCACTAGATTTCAGTATCATTATTATTCAATGTCACTTTAATTCATTGAAAAAATATCATTACACACACTTATTTTCTGTCAGATTATAGAATTGTCAGTTGTTTGCATGAATGACAGACTATCCCCTTACTAGTTCTAGTCCTAATTATAATACCTATACATAACCTATTTCATATTTATCATTTATTAATCTGATATTTTTCATGTTACGTTAGGTCTTAACAGGTCTTTGCCAAAATGTGTAGCAAACAATTTGACATTAGACATTGATTTAGATCTAATGCATTTAAAGCCATAAAAATCCCTGCTCTGGTAGGGAGAATTTTGTAGGCTTGTTTATCAGATGAACTAACCATCACTCATGCAGAGGGCTTAATTTAGCTGATGTAAACAAACACTATAGCAGACGATAACAATTGTTATTGCTGATCAGCTCCCTTCCCAAACAGATGCCTTGAGTAATATTTCAAGCTTCTACAGGAAAGTTTAACACTGCCACATGTATTTCTTTACAATCTGCAGTTCATGACCCCATTTACTCCGCCCCAGGATTTTCAAATTTTTGACAGTTAACTGATTATTTTTTTCACAAAGTACATTAAAGTGAATTTTTCATGAAATTTTCTCTGCCATTTTATTTCAAATATTGCAAAGAAGGTATACAAAAAGTTTTTAGGCAAAATACTTTTTGGTTATTTCACTATTTTAAAAAAGGGCTGTTAGATATGAAGCATGTCAAAAATACCATGAAAACCTGCCCCAACGCCATCTAGTGGCTTAAATAGTCAAGTTGCAGGTTTAAACAATTAAGACAGCATGATTGTATTTACATTAATTTTGACCTATTTATGAACAAAACTAAAAGATAAATATCTTTTAACAAAATAATTGAACTGTCACGTCCGAAAAATCATTATTAAATCCTCTCATTTAATTAAATTCCTTGTACAGCCGGTAAACAAATGGCTGCCATACAGTGCGCGAAACCCGATTGGCTAATTCAAATGCAAGGGTTTTAAATGAGTCAGAAGTTTCTAACGGAATATTTTTTTAACAAAATAGTTGCCCTTGCACCATCAAGGTGTTTGAATATATTTTTTCGTTTTGTTTGGAATCAATCTGTAAAGCACTTTGCTTAACCAGTATGGCCGATAGGCATACATGCCATAATTTTTAGACTCATTTCTGGGACACTTCATTTGGAGGTAGGGCATTGATCAGCAAACGTATTTTTTTTTAATTTACATAGTGGCATACAACCTATATTACCTGTATTTACAACTTGCAAATTTAATGACACTATAAACAAAAGACAGAATGTCAATAATTATTAGCAGTTTTTCTATCTTTTTTAAGTATTTAGGCATCGTTAATTCAATCAGTTACAGAATAGAATAAAGCTACATGTATGTAAAGTAATGACAATTAGCCATGTCGTTTACCTGAAACATTCGCTGAATCTTGTAGATTTCATCACCTCATATTTAGCGGTAATTTTCATGATGTTTGACCACTAATAACTGCCTTCAGGCGGATTAAATTTATACTGGCCCGTTGTTAATTACAGTGTATGACACCTTCGCTCAGAAAGCCACAGGTGGTAAACAATTAATCTTTTAATTGATCAAAATTATTGCCGATAATTGTTTGTTGGAAAGGGCAGGTAGATATACCAATCAAAGGATTAGTGCCACCATTGCAATGCTGTTAGGGGATAATTGTTCGTTATTAGCGTTCTAGACTAGTTTATAAAAACTTGACAATAAAATTATATAAAAATGTAAAATTTCCCGCTTCAAAGTAGATAATTTTAGAAAAAAATTTACTGGGACATTATTCATCTCCGGACACCTCCGAGACAGACAACTTATTTCCGGGACTGTCCCGGACATCCGGGACGTTATGGCATGTATGCATTGCTGATAGGCAAAAAAGATTGATATTTATATTTTATTTTTGATTGATAAGTACATTGTTTGAGAGTTTTTGTTAATGAATGAGCATGAAATTGAAAGAAAAGAAGATAAGCTTTTGAATAAAGTTGAAAGACAAGACAATAGACAATTTTTTTATTTTTTTTTAAATGCTATGTGTTTATGAGCAATAACTATTAGACGTCAGGCTTGACCGACATAAAACTATAACAAGCCTGTAACGTCTTATATATTGGACTATACTAGTTCCTGCCTTACTATTTCCTAAACCAGACAGTTCTTTCCCAAACTGTTTGGTATCCTGACAGTTCTCTTCAAAATTTGAAGGAGGAAGCGTCAAGGGAGGAATTGGTAAGGGGGAGAAGAGTCTTGCTGCCATTTTTATAAATACCATATCAGAACTTTGTTTTTGTAATGGAATAATCATGTTGGAATGAAAAAAAAAATTAATATGAATAAGGCAAAGCCTCAAAGCAAGCTCTTTGACAGAAATATGGTAACAAGACACTACACACCCAGACACTTCACCCCTCATGACACTTAATTAATTCACCCCCCAAAATTTTGCAGTACTTCCGGCGATAGTTAAAACTGTTTTCAAAACCAACACTATCTAGCAGGTACTTCTGTTACTGTCGGGCCGGCTCTTTATGCTCACTATTATTTTGCTGTGTATTCTAAGCAATTGACATGGTTACCTGTATCTACTTTTTTTTTACAAAACAAGTTTTGTATTGCTTCATAGTCATACTGAAATTAATTTTTTCGTAACAGGCTCATACGAAATAAACAACAGTCAGTCTGATTTATTATTAAAAATCTCTCTCTTTTTCTATATATAAAAGAACTATAATACTAAAACCAGCAACAACAAAAAAAATCAACAATGAACTTACATAATATGTCATGTATTTTATAGGTAATGACTCGTGTAAGTGGTTGCTTAGCGATGGGAGATTTCCAGGATATGGTGTGTGGCAACCATATGGTTGTATGACCCACAAATACAACAAAGAGTAAGTAATAGCATTCTGTGTATAGAATAGATGCTTTGAATCAATGTATTGTCATAATATTTTGTCCCTGTAGTACAACTTTTGCAGAGCAACACCATTTGGGTTGCAAAAAATATTCTGGGTTTCTGGCAGAAAGGTGTTGCTCTAAAGGGATTAAATATATTGTAAAGTCGTACTTTTAAAATAATTGAAACAGTAGTTGAAAAAAAAAATAGCTCTTGAGGTGGCCGCTCCACCGCCAAAGGTGCACTGTAGTTAGAAAAATATTTTGTTTTCTTGTATTATGTAAAGTCCTGTGATCTAAAATAGAAAAAAACTAGTTGCATTATTGTTTTTTTATAAGCATATTTTGAAATTATTACATTTGTTACATCTAATCTTGCATTAAAGTTTTCACTGTAAACTATTGCAAAATATACGCAACTAACAGTATTGTTCATTAGAAGAATTTGAAATAGATTGTTAGTTCTCCCGACATTAAACAGTAAACTGTGCAACTCAAAAGTAAGTTTTGTATGTAAAATTATCATTATTCCATGTCTACTACCTTATTATGTCTATTTCAATATTAAATCTATTACATGACTTTTGTACATGTATAGCAAGTAATGCAAAGATCCCGATATGACCCTAGCTTGTCTGATTTGAAATTTCAGACAGATATGTAGGGGTTTAATACAATAAGAATTTCACCACAACGTGTTTAATAACAAAAGAGCGTATATCAGAGATTTTTTTCAGGATTTTGGGAACACGACCCATACCCATGGAATTGGGAATTTCAGCTGTGTTTTGTTTAGAATTGGGAAAAATGCATGACTGAAATTTTGCAGTGATAAAATGGATGCAATCACATACTGTCTATGATGGCATCTTCAAAGATTTAAGAACTATTACATTGAAGAAGTCCTTATTTGCAAAGATTTTATAATTCTTATTCAATATTTTTATTTTGTAACTTTCAATTGGGAATTTTTTCCTGTGGATTGGGAAAATAATGTACTATTTTCAATTGTGAATATGACCCAAAAACGGCTATTAAATAAGCCAAAAAAAATCCCTGTATAATATGTCAATGTTTGTTACATAGATTGTGGTTAAATTCTATTGTTACTTTATATTAAAAGTCATACTAGGGATCTATAAATTCTATGATAAAATTTGAATTTAATTAACAGGGATTCCCGTATGTGTATGCATTACATATCGTACTGGGGCGGTTATAACCACATCACGTTTCTCGGAGATTCCAGGATTAGACAACTCTATTTCGATTTTGTGAATCTGCTCAGTAAAGAACCTGTGGACAAGTACAAATCCCATGGAGATCTTCATTTTAATGATAAACACATAAATGCAAGAGTGGTAAGGTTTAGATATAATTATATGTAAATGTATGTCTATATTGTTTAGCTGAAAGAAATTCATATATATTGCTCCATTTGAGTGGACAAAGTTTCAACTTACAAATGTATCATACTTTCAGAAAAAATGTTAAGTCATATAAAAATTGGCATTGAAATTTACCAGCAGTTCAGACTAGTAATGCAGCTTTCACAAGTCCAAGAGAAAATCCACTAGTTTTAGAGATTAGAACGTTTTGTTTTTGTCTCTCTATCTCTCTGATGGTCTCTGTCCCTTTGACATAACATATGCATATTATAGGCTAGAGTTTTCATGGTTAACACATTATACATCTGTGGAAATTTCGCCACCATTTTTGGTACTTACCTTAAATTTTGAGTATAAATAGAGGTGAGAAAAGAAACTTAAGTTTTGTTGATTTTTCTCTCACTTCTTATTTGATGCTTTTATCTATTTTGTATTGTAGGATTTTATTTGGATGCCTTTTGTCAATACTGATATGTACAAGATGTACAAGTCATGGATGTTGAATGGACCAAGGGACCGGCCAAATCTCATTGTAACAGGAAGTGCTACAGTAAGTCATTTGTTTATTAAAACTTAAAACTAATATGACAAATCTGTACCGAAGAGCTGTCATCGATAACAAAAAAATTGATGTTGATGTAGCATCCATAATTTTCTGTTATTTGCTAATCAATACAGATTTGAAAAAAGTCATCTTTGGACGTCAGCTGATCTTTAGATCCCTGCAGATATCCTTTAAAAAATAAAGTGAGACATTGCTGACATCTTCTTTAACCCAGAATCTTACTAATAGCAAATTTAGTGAAAAATGGTTAAAATGGAAAGGTTATAATGGTGTGTTTTTATTTTCAGTGGATAATAAAAGAATTTAATGCCAGCAAAGATGCTTTGAAAAATTTTGAAGGTGAGTGATATGAATTTTATATTTTTAATTTACCATGTACATGCATGTTTTACCCTTTTGCTGTTTAAGCAACAACAGCGACATTTTGTTTAGCATGATTGGATACATAAAAGGCATTTTGACACACAAATGTGAAACATGACAGTGTTTGAAATTAGCAGTAGTCCGATAGCCCCTGACTACTAAATTACCCAATGCTACCAACTTTTCACAGTAACAAGCTAGGCTACTGTATTTTCAGAGGCAATATAAACAACTGTTTTGAACAAAAGAATCGTGCTAGTGAAATGATTTTTGAAATAGTGAATATTCCAATCTGGCAGTCCAACCAGCCTAGTGGATTCATTTCCGAATTTCTTACACTGACATGAAATGGAGCAATTCATATAAGAAAATTTTTCTGAGAAGGATAAATTTATGTTAATGTGTTCTGTAACCCTTAAGTTTTTTGCATAGTATAAAAATTAATCAAGATTGTAAGTTAAATCGACTATTGGAAGAATAGGGAGAGCTATTGTACTACCCTTGGTGTGGGCATCACACTTTGGTTAAGTTTTTGTGTGCAAGTTGGTATCTCAAAAAGTACTGAAGAGAAAGGGTTGAAACTTCACACACTTATTTTAGGAGCATTTTAATTGCTTTTAAAACTGAGTGATTCATTTGAAGTTGAAAAAGACAATGTAATAGATAAATGTTATATGATTGTGTATCATGTATTGAATATAAACACTTCTCATGTTTTAAACTTGTAATCTGTAGCATTTTACAAAGGCCTTCTCAATATGAAATTTTATTAAAGAAATGTGTCCAATTGTCAGAAACTAAGTAAGGCGTCCGTCTCAGCTTGATACCAAATTTATATTGCATATAAAACCTGTTGTTATTTAGGAGGAAAACATAGACTAAACAGTATGTAAATATGATATGGTCTTTGCCAGAAAATGATCAAGCTCAACTTAAGAGGGTTTATGCGAAGTGTGGGGCGAAGTGTGGGGTAAGATAACACTAATCATGATATGTGAGTATACATTACTTTATGACATTAATTTTTATCTTTCAGCAAATCTGACATACATTGTACCTTATTTTGAGAAAATGAAGGAATCAACAGACATTATATGGGCACTTCAAGGTATTTAAGTTATTCATGAGGTTTTTTCATATATATGAATATAGTCTTTGATTTTATGCATGGATGAAGAAAAGAAAAAATAACTGCATGGGTGCAAGTTTTCAGGCATATACCTGAAGCTCAGGTTTTTTGTGACAAATTTCATCATGTTTTACTATTAGATTATGTAAGAAAATGATTGTGAATTACAGTTTTCAGTTTTTTTTCCAAATTTTCAACTCGCACCCATGGAATTTATTTATGTATTTTAAGCTAGTAATAGAAAAGAAACTGTTCTATCCTACTGCTCATGCATCTCTGTAACACTTTGACTAAGATTCAATCAACTACTAAAAATATTTGGTTCCCATAATGTCTTTGGTATCATTATTTGAGTTTGTTATCCGAGACCCATGATTAATGACTTTGACATGAATTATGACCCTTTGTAAACTTTTGGTTAAAGTTTTGCATGCATAACCAGTTTTCAAAACTACTTGAGGTGTTCACTTTATACAGCAATCATGTCTTAATTGTAGGTCAGTTTCCAAGGGACATGGATATGTCATGTATTGCACAGAATTATTAGAAAGTTTATTACTTTGGTGGAAAATTGAATTTTTGGCATTGGATGTGCATGTATATTTTTTTTTTTTTTAAAATCATTGGTTAAATTTATATTTTCAGATCCAGTTGTAGAGAAAAGACTGAATGCAAATCGTACAATGATCACTAATGAACAGATTGATCATTATAACAAAGTGGCGCTGGAAGTTTTGTAAGTATAAAACATAAGTTTTTAGCTTGGCTATTCTAAGAATAGAGAGAGCTATGTAACTCAAGCGGACATCAGCATCACAGTGGTTAAGTTTTTTTTGCATGCTGTTGGGCGTCTCAAAATCTTCTGAAAAGAATAGATTGAAACTTCACATTCTTATTTGAGAACATAATAGGAGGTCACTATCCAAGGCAAGTAACTAACACTAATAAGGATTTTGACAGAATTATGGCCCTTTTTGAACTTAGAAAATTCTACATTATCCAGGTTTTTGTTATACTTTCAAGCACTGAGAATAGTCAAGCATACTGTCCTTATGACAGCTCTTGTGAATTAGGTTTAGAATGAAAGGTTGGAGTATTTTAGAATGTTTCTTTTCAATTGAGCTTTAGTGTTTTAGGTGCCAATTCCTAAATGATTCTAATTCTAATTTATAGATGGTAACTCAAAAGTTATTTGAAGACTATGATTGAAATTTTGTTTTATAATTGAATCTGTGAGAAGTGAAGTCTTCACTAATCAAGTTTATTTTTCTTTATATTGCCACTCTACTTGTGTGGGTTTGATTCACACATGCGAAGTGAAACATGTATATGTTGGATTTACTATTTGGAAGTTAAGCATGTGCGGATTGGATTGATTAATGAGAAGTTAAACATTTTGATTAAATAATTTAAATTGTCAGTGATCGATAATTCTTCCTGGGTTACCTATTTGTGCATGAATTGATAAGAGTGAGTTTACCTCCACGAATCCACCAAAAAATATTTTTGATTAGATTGCATAAAAACTTATTACCAAAGGTTAAACCTTAACCATACTAAAACCAAAAAGATAATTTAAATGCCGACATACAGAGTTTTGCTTTTGTTTTATAGTGCAAAGTTGCAGAGTTCAGCGAAAATTTGGAGCTCATCACGTTTAGTGGCTCAGGGTATGAAAAAAGAGTTGGTGGATGGAATCCATCTTTCTTCAGCTGCTCTACAACTGGTAAGGAAAATTCACATTTACCCATAGTCTGCTGGAACCAGTCAATGAATTTGATATTTTGAATTTACTAGCCCGAATTCCAGTTTTGAATTTATTCTACTATATATGTAACTAAATCTTCTTAAAATTTACACTGGCCCAAACTAATTTTCACTGGCCATGAGCCACCGGGCCAGTGCTAAATTCGATGACTCTGGAACTGATAGTGATAAGCCTTGGCCACCAGTATAGAGCCAGGCCAGCCTGCACATTTGTGCAGTCTGACCGGCTTTATACTGTTGGTAGCTAAATTTTTGTATTTTGATATTGAAATCCATTAATTTTTCAAATTGACTTATAAAAATTCAGAACAAAGGTAATCTATACCAGAAATTCAACTGGTTATGGGTAAATAATTGTTAAAAAAGGAAAAAATTGTGATATGAATTGAAGCTTGGCTTCTAAATATAGGGAGTACAATTGTCTCACCCCCTGAGTTGACATCACCCTAAGGTTAAGTTTTTACATGCAAATAAAGATCTTGGAAACGATGTTGGAACTTCATACACTTTTTTATACGCCCGTTTGAAAAACGGGACGTATTATGGGAACGCCCCTGGCGGGCGGGCGGACGGCGTCCAATTTTGTCCGGAGCATATCTCCTACATATATGGAGGGATTTTAATGAAACTTCATACAAATGTTCACCACCATGAGGAGCAGTGTCGCGCACATGAACCAGGTCAAAGGTCAAGGTCACACTTAGAGCTCATTGAAAAATGCTTGTCCGGAGCAAAACTTCCACATGTATAGAGGGATTTCAATATTACTTGGCACAAATGTTCACCATTGTGAGGCGGAGTGTCGCGCGCAAGATTCAGGTCCTTGCGGCCAAGGTCAAGGTCACACATAGAGGTCAAAGTTCAGATAAAAATATGAAGATGTGTATATGGACCATTTAGTCATCATTTATTGAGGGATTGTAACACAAATGGTCATTATCAAGACTATGGCTGTGATACATATAATTTAGGTCAATATATACAAGGTCAAGGTCACTAAAGATGATGAAATATCCAGATTTTGTTGGGAGCATATCTCCTACATGTATGGAAGAATTTTTATAATACTTTATGGAAATGTTCACCACCATGATATGTATTGCTCCATGCATGATCCAGGTCAAAGGTCAAGGTCACACTTAGAGCTCATTGAAAAACGCTTGTCCAGAGCAAAACTTCTACATTCATAGGTGGATTTCAATATAACTTGGCACAAATGTTCACCATTGTGAGGCTGAGTGTCGCACGCAAAATTCAGATCCCTGCGACCAAAGTCAAGGTTACACATAGAGGTCAAAGTTCAGATAAAAATTTGAAGATGTGTATATGGACCATTTAGTCATCATTTATTGATGGATTGTAGCACAAATGGTAACTATCATAACTACAGGTGTGACACATATAATTTAGGTTAATATTTGCAAGGTCAAGGTCACTGGAGATGATTAAATATCCAGATGTTGTCCAGAGCATATTTTCTACATGCATGGAGGAATTTTAATGTTACTTTATAGAATTGTTCACCACCATGAGACGTAGTGCCCTGCACATGAACCAAGTCTCTAGGTCAAAGGTGAAGGTCACAGTTAGAGCTCATAGAAAAACGCTTGTCTGGAGCAAAACTTCTACATGCATAGAGGGATTTCAATATAATTTGGCACAAATGTTCATCATTGTGAGGCTGAGTGCCGTGCATAAAATTCAGGTCCCTGCGACCAAGGTCAAGGTCACACATCCTGTGCATATCTTCCCTACTGATTTGTTTTAAGGTTCATTTAACAACACAGTGCCAAGAATAAAAACTTGCTTGCTAGATAACACTTATCCATAATGCCCCCATCTCCATCTAAAGCTTTCGTAAACGGGCGTATTTTGTGACTATGGCACCCTTGTTCATACATAGGGTGTACAAATAATAATGAACATGTATATTTGACTTTTTTTAGGATGTACAGATGTTAATGAACATGTACTGTAACAATCAGATGAATCATAATGATGGTACATGTTGTAGTAATCCAGAACCAACCACCACTCTACAGATTATAGTGGCCGCTTTCTTCCTTGTCTGGTATGTATATATCCTACCATACCTTGACTATATCATACACGTTTAGTAAAAATATTTTTCTATTCAAGTAATCAATGGCATAAATGAATTAATGATATTTTTTTTTAATGAGATACATGTACTAAATTTAATCAGTGAGATATATATTATGTTACTATGTTGATAGGAAAATCTTTATCCATTTCTTTGAAATTGAATGAATGTTAAAAGTTTATATTCCATGCAAAGATAGAGAAAATTGATCAGTTTTATTTCATTACATCAATTATATTTCAGTATGATATCAGTTTTATTTCATTACATCAATTTTATTTCAGTATGATAACAGTTTTACAGTATGATACCAGTTTTATTTCATTACATCAACTTTATTTCATGATATCAGTTTTATTTCATTACATTAACTTTATTTCATGATATCAATTTTATTTCAGTATGATATCAATGTTTGCTCTGCTGATATATAGGAGGAGAATGAGAAGAAATGGTGTTAAAATAAGAACAGGTTTGCTTAAGTTTATATATATCTCTAAGTAAACAAGAAAAGGATATAGAACAACATGTCTAACATATATCTTTGTAGGTGTTGTTGTTTGATGTGTGGCATCTGTTATAATTCAAAATGTAAATAGAACTGGCAGTATGCATTCAATTTGAATCACAATGTTCAAACATAAGCAGACATACATGTATTTGGTTAAGATGTTTTTCCGTCAAGTAGTTATGTTTGATTGTTTTATCATATGAAAGGAAGTTATCCAGCTAGCTGGGGTGTCTGCGGCAAAGTGGTTAAGGTCTCGGACTTCAAACCACTTGTCACTCACTGCTGTAAGTTTGAATCGCACCAGGGACTTTTGATTCTTTTATTACATGAAAGGAAGTTATCCGCTAGCTGGTTAGTTAATTGTTCTACTCAGATGTGTGCTATTACCTGAAATAATGCACAAAAGAACACCTTAGGTCTTTCTCCATCAGAAACCATAATAATTGGTAGGAGTAACTTCAATTACTTGGGAAAGGAAAATTGACTTGAAACATTTGCATGACAATAGAAAGTGGGAGCAAATAAAGAAAGTTTAAGTGATGTACAGTAGATATTTGGAAGTGACTTTTGGGAAGTGGAATTGACTTAGAAAGTGGGAGTGACATTAGAAAGTCTGAGTTTCTTTAGAAAGTGTGAGTAACTTGGGAAAGTGGGATTGACTTAAGAAAGTGGGAGTGTTTTGGGAAAGTGGGAATGACTTAAGAAAGTGGGAGTGTTTTGGGAAAGTGGGAATGACTTAAGAAAGTAGGAGTGTTTTGGGAAAGTGGGAATGACTTAAGAAAGTGGGAGTGTTTTGGGAAAGTGGGAATGACTTAAGAAAGTTGGAGTGTTTTGGGAAAGTGGGAATGACTTAAGAAAGTGTGAGTGTTTTGTGAAAGTGGGATTGACTTAAGAAAACTGGAGTGTTTTGGGAAAGTAGGAATGTCTTAAGAAAGTGGGAATGTTTTGGGAAAGTGGGAATGTCTTAAGAAAGTTGGAGTGTTTAGAGAAAGTGGGAATGTCTTAAGAAAGTAGGAGTGTTTTTGGAAAGTGGAAGTGACTTAAGAAGTGGGAGTGTCTCAAGAAAGTGGGAGTGTCTGAGGAAAGTGGGCATGATCTAATAAAATATATGTATATTGAAATCAATTAAATTGTAGAAAATGGTCAGAGAAATGGAGGAAGTAATGGTATAGAGCAACCTGTAACAGAACACTCACAGTCACTTTATGAAGTGTTGTCTTCATTGTCTAAACTGGGAATCATCATGGCGTACTTCTACCTATGTGATAGGTAAGCATAGTATATATAATGTACATTTCTTACTGTTGAACAAATAGTCGAGCTATTAAGTTTGCTGTGGCGTTAGACATTGTTGTTGTTGCCGTGTAAAAATTTTAATGTAGCCAATTATTCAAACATTTTACAAGTTGTCCATATGAAATTTGGAATACTTGCTTATCATGCTAAATTGCAATTGTCAAATAAGAATCATAATTCTGAAAGCAATATTTTTTAACCTAAGAAATTTTAACAGACAAGCGTTAAACACCACACACGGTGCTATTGATTTTCTTAAAATTGAAAATTCTTATCTAAGTTAATAGAACAAATGATAGCGCTTGATAATTACTATAATTCCATTTAGTTTTCAAATTTTCAATATATTTGCAATTTTGAAAAAGGAGTCTGACTGCAAGAAGTTGGAGTAATAAAAAGAAGGTAGGAGTGACTGAAAGAAAGTAGGAGATATGTAAGGAAAGTGGGAGTGACTTATAGTGGGAGTAGATAAAAAATTTGTGATCAGGAACCTTGGGCAGCTTTGTAGATACAATGGTTGTTTTATTCATATTTTTCAGGACAAATTTCTTTATGAAGGAGAACAAGTATTACACACATGTGAATTTCTTTTTACCGTTTGCCTATGTGATGATTCTGGGCTTTTTCTTCAATGAAAGTACAGATAAGGTAGGCCTTTCTTATTATGCCATCAGTGTATTTAGTCAACCCAATCTGCACATTGTGGACTTCTTACTAGTCTATGCTGTTGGCTACTCAGTAAAAGTATACCCTTAAAATCTAATAATAAGCCTGTCACAAAAATAAACATGTCTTGAAAATAAACATGTCTCAGAAAGTAAGCCACTATTCTCTGACAGTCAAGATTAACTTGTAAGATAGCCAGTGTGAAAATTCAATTTGTCACAGGGTGAGAGAAATTTGCAGCCTGACCGGGACTCAAACCCAGGAACTTCAGAATACAGTTCCTCACTTCTACAGACTGAGCTATCTGGCTTCTCCCCTAAATAGTGAACAGTTCTGAACCGTGACAAAGATTATCAGATACACCTTATGTAAACATCTAAAATAAAATACCTCCCTTGAAAAAAAAGTAGTCACAATACCACTTTGTTTACATTTTGCTACCTTTATGACAAAATATTTCACATTCATCGCTATTTTCTTCAGATGATAAGTATGTCACATGTTCTTAAAGTATCGTTGCAACATTACAAAACACATATTTGCCTTTTATATGCATACTGACAAAAAAATATTTTATTTCTAAAGCTTAATGTACCTTTAAATTTGTTCCAGGGCAGTAAATGTTTTTAGTCAGTTCAGTTAAAACTTACAACTCTCATTTGTTTGGAGCATATATTCACCTATATCCCAATTAATGATATATTACATGATATATACATGTACATATATCATGATATATAGAAGATATATCAGGAAGCTGTTGTTGTTGTTGTTTCAGAATGAAATTTTACATCGTGACCAGACAGATGAGTGGAAAGGTTGGATGCAGTTAGTAATACTCATTTACCATATTACAGGTGCTAGTAAAGTAAGTAATTAATACTCATTTACCATATTACAGGTGCTAGTAAAGTAAGTAAACTCAGGTGATTAGTTTCTGGTAAGGTAGATTACACATTACTTCTGATGACTGTAATACTGATTTGTCTGGCAACTCTAGGCTCTCACCAGACTCTTGAACTTTTGAAATTTTGTTAAAAAAAGCTTTTGCCAGTGTTTAAAAATATCAGCCATAGTCATTCAGATATTTGCAATATTGCCAGTGTTTAAATGTATTAACGAAAGCTATTTAGATGTTGCCTGTGTTTAAATATCAATGATGGTATATTTTGATATTGCCAGTGTTTTAGCATATCAGCCATAGAAATTCAGATATTACAAGTGTAACAATGTATTATCAGTTGCATTATAGATGCTGTAAGTGTTTCAACAGTGGCATTAATTCAATATTACCAGTGTTTTAGCACATTAATCAAAGTTATTATTGCCAGTGTTTCAGCATATCAACAAAGAAATTATTGCCAGTGTTTCAGTATATCATCAAAAGTAATTATTGCCTTTGCTTTAGCTTATCAACAAACGCATTTCAAGAAAAGGTATTATTGCCAGTGTTTTAGCAATATTCAACAAAAGTTATTATTGCCAGTGTTTTAGCTTATCAACAGAAGCAATAATTGCCAGAGTCAGCATATCGGCTTTTTTCTAAAAAAAAATGATATTCTATTTTTAGATACTTCCTATCTACATGCATATAAGAGTGTTAGTGTCGTGTTACTTGTTCCTGACAGGGTACGGACATTTTACGTACTTCTGGAAGAAGGGGGACTATGATCTGTTCAGATACTGCCAGGTAAGCTGTGGGTTAAACTGTTTGGTTGTTGTACCTTTTTTTTTCATTGTAGATCTTGGCATGGGTCAATGATTTTAATATGTTTGTCTGGAAAATTGGAGCGGTCGTCTTTATGATTTAAGTAGTATAAATAGTAAATTCATCACACAACATTCCTTGTGTACAAATAGCTTAATTTTTCTACAATAATATTACATTGACGCTATGCTGTCGAAAAAGGTTAAATAGGTCTAACAAAAAAAAAACATGATACAAAATTATATTAAGAACCTTAAAACATATGCATTTCATTTAAATTAAAAAATCTTGTAATAATAGGAATGTCATATTTGTTGTATTTCACTTTAGATTTTTTTAGACTTATCCAAGAAAATGTAAATAAGCTTGCCGAGACTTTGATTTAGTTATTTGAACGAATAATTGAACATACCACAGCTAAGACATCTTTAATTCTCGTTTAATCCATCTATTTAGAAAGAGATACATATATGAATTCCAGCTAAATTTTCCAGGCAAACTAATTTAGGAGAGGTTAATGTTTAGTTTTAGTCTTTTAGATTTTACCCTCTGTTTACCAATTAAATTAGGTTTTTGGGGGTGGGAATGACATGATGTAGATTTGCCCGTGTCTGTCACTGTTGCCCTTAGGAAAACTGGGGGGGGGGGACCCGTCCCCTGGGGAAAAATTTTTTGTTTATTTTAAATCACACAAATTGCAAATGTGCACCAACTTTGTTTTTGCTGACTCTTTCCTTTTTTTTTGGTCGGGGAAGACTCGGGTCCCCCCGTCTAGAAATTATTTCAGGAGAGAGCAGGCATCTGAATAGAATCATCTATTATTCATTATCTAGCTCAATTCACTATCTTCATACAGTAAACCACGCATATAATGATATTCTGAGGACCGCCAAATTTATGTTGTTATATCAGGATATTGTTATGTCCGACCGAGAGGCAACCAGTTTGAAAACAAGAGTTGGGACTGAGGCAACATTATAGGCGATATCGTTGAAAGTGGAGTTTACTGTATATAGATGAAAGAATTCTAAGTTCCTTTTAAATTTCAAATCATCGGCTTTGAGGGACAAGTGATTTGAAATCGGCAACCTAAACGACTCAACATTTCAATGTGGTTTTTTTTTATGTACAGTTTATAATTCAGCATCATAGAAAGCTTTGAGTGAAATACGGCTTTTAAAATGTGATTTTTCAAAAAATAGTCCATCCGTATTTGTTTTTCAACATTCATCTAATCTTCCATGAAAGTTTCATCATTTGTTGGTCTCAAAATGTACGCTGTAAAATGTTTTATGTCCTTGTTAAAGTCTTGGTCCCATTTACAGACTTTAGCCTTTAAAATGAAAACTGAAAAGTTTATGAAATAATATTTATGGCTTAAATTAAAATATAAGATTTTTTTTAATTGTTTACTTTACAGGAGTATAACTTGAGTTTAAAATAAATTTATTTATTGAACAGGGGCACAGGTAGGCAAATGAATTGTTCATAGAAAGGGGCATAGAGTTAGGCAAATGATATTATAATGTCTATGGAATAGGCTCACAGTTAGGGTAATAAAGGGAAATGAGGTTGTCTAATAGGCATAGAGTTAGGCAAAATGAATTATGGAATCAGTTAGTGAAATTAAGGGGAAATGGAGTTGTTTATGGAATATGCCTCTGCCAGTATGGAATTGTTTTTATAGCAATTTTACACAGTAATCTGGTATTTGTTTACCTAGGCTAGTTACTCAAATAAAGTTGATTACAGTATGGATTCATAAATAGGCAAGTAAATTTGTTTATAGTAAAAAAAAAATAAAGTTATGCATGCAGTTATTCTAACAAAGTTGTTTACAGTAAGGCAATGGAAGTTGTTAACAGTTAGGCAGTGGAAGTTGTTTACAGTTAGGCAGTGGAAGTAGATTAAAGTTAGTAAGTTAGGAAGAAGTTTACAATTAGGCAGTAAGGAAGTTGTTTACAGGGCAGTTAGGAAGCTGTTAACAGTTAGACAGTTAGAAAGTCGTATACAGTTAGGCAGATAGGAAGTTCAAGTTAGGCGTCTCTCAGATTTTTTTATTGTGTTACATCTTTCAGAAGGGTTGCAGTGTATTGCCCATATACTGGCATTTGAGGCAGAACTCTTTACGAAGATTGCTCGAAGTAAGTCTGCATTATGTGATCTTGCTCATGTAGAAGCTGTTTTCTTTAGAAGTATACAACACCTAGATGATAATGATCAAATTCATATTGATCTAGCTCGTATAGAAGCTGTTTTCTTCAATTATCAAACACTTTTGTGAGATTTACTTAATATATACAGTGGTTTTCTTTATTGTAAAAAGAAACATAAAAAAAAAGATAGGCAAAGAGAATGGCATATTAAAAAAAAAATGTGAATAAAAATTATGATATACATTTAATGTTAAAAGAGCCCTGGTTTCTTTATTCTTAACTGATTAAATATTTTCATTATTGTTTAGACTTGTTAACAAACAGTTTCGTAAATGAGAATTTTAACATTTTATTTCTTTTCATCATGTGTTCTTCTTAAATATCTAACTGTCGTAGTTATATATAATTACCCACCTTCACATACCTAGATTCCTTAGTGTAGTTTTGTTTGTTTGTTTTGTGTTATTTTTTCACATATTTCATTCAAAGCTTTCTATGTACAAAATGTATAACCAATAGAAATGATGTTTTCTAATTTGGGTAATCTGACCCCTCAAATATGGTTATTATAACTTTAGTTTATCTTCCAGTAAATATGTTGGGGGTCATTGCTTTGTTAGTATCAATTTTGCAAATTGTGTTGATTTATATTTTAACAGAGATTCTAATTTGACAAAATATATTATACAGTATCTTTTAGACCATTTGTTTGGTGATTATTTATTGGAAATCTTGGCTTAAGAGAAAAATACGCTTTATTTTCAGGAAATTAGTAACTAGTTTTGGTGACTTTACGCTAACAAAATTCTTAATATCTTTTTGCTTATTTGCTTGATTTTGGTAACAAAAAAAATTCGCCATATGACCTTTTCTGTGTTTGTGTGACATAAATTCCAACCAAGAAAAAAAGTATTGGAAATCTTGCATAGTGTAAAGCATAGACCATCAGTGAATGGTGACTGATTTGTGTGTCATGTACAGTTTTATTTTATTAGAGAGGGTAAAAATGTTCTAAATAACTCAAAGTGACTTAAAAATTGTTATGTTTACTTGTTTCTCAGACAGATAATTCAGACTGACTAGACAGACAGTCAATTACTTCAAAATGTAATTGATTACATTACAATTACACATTACATTTATATCATTATATCTCTGATTACAATTATGTATGATTTATTTGCACTAATATTGAAATTACCAAATTATTGAATTACAATTAAATTACAATTACTTTTACAATGTAATCAAGGTAACATTTAGATAAGATAAAAGATTTATGTATAGGCAAAGGAATAATTAGATACAGATAAAAAAGGAAACAAAGGTACTTTATATAATTGTTGAAAGCTTTTTATAAAGACAAAATAATAATTATACACTAAAAATATGCAACAAATGTATGTCATTGATGACAACATTTTGCGATTTTGCCATGAAAAACAGTCCATGACATAAATCAGCCACTATTTCAATAAAATGTAATTTTATGCAAAAAACAAATAAAAAATTGTTATTTTTTATGATGTTACATTATACATATATGGTGCTTACAGGTCTGAGTGGTTAAAGTTAGCAACTGAAAATCACTTGCCACTCTACTACCTAGGTGTGAATCCTGTCAGTGACTTTGGATTATTTCATGTAAGGAAGCTATCCAGATAGCTTACAAAATGTCTTGTGTTTCTTCTCAGGTACCCAATCATGTCTGAATTTCATTCTGTGATTAATGTATTACATGATAAGTTTTGAGATTAATTTGGTTTGTGATAAATCATTCTTTAATTTAAACATTTTGTGATGAACTTGTTTAGATTGTGATAAAATTGTTACCAAGATTTATTTGTTTTGTGATTAAATCATCTTATCAGATGACATTTTTTAAACGACTCCACTGAGGTTTTTATGACATGACAGGACTGGAAATAATTTTCAGGATTTTTATAGAATTTCATATTAATCTATACCAATCATTTGTGTGCAAAATTCGCTAACTTTGTTTTACCAGAATAATCCCTTTTTAGGTGGAATTATATATTTTTATGCTTTTTGACTTAATTACAAAACTATTTATCATGTAATAAATTATTCACAGAACAAAAATTTATCACAAAATTAATCACAAAACTCACTGAACAAATAATTAAAACCAAATTCATTTTAAAAACATGAAAGGCATGACATAAATGTATCAAGATAGAAATAAAAACCCAAACCACTTCTTGTATTTTCAGGTGATGTTTAGATTAAATCTGTTAGTCGTAACGTTGTGTTTTGTGATGAATCGACCCTACCAGTTCTACTATTTTGTGCCTCTAGTCTCGTTCTGGTTTATGGTTATTTATATCACCATGGCAATATGGCCGAGGGTCTGCGAGAAACACGCTGAAGGTAAGTACGTGTATTAGTTTACACAAATTTATGTTAGTTTGATTGTGATGGAAGCTATAAGCTTATTGAAATATCCTCGAATCTGTTCCTCGAAACTAACCAGTACTGAGCAAAGAATGTAAAGTTTCTAGCTCAAGGAAATAACAGCTTGCCCTCGCACCGGATTTGAACCCACAAAGCCAGCAATCCTTAGATAACTAGTCCCACGCGTTAACCACTTGGCAATGCTGCCACATAAGTTTTTGATTCCCCCAGCCATACCATTTGTACATTTTCAGTTTGGAGCTAATAATATGGATAGCTTTGTTTATATATGGAACTGTTTAAACGGGTCATTATAAACCTATATTAAAGACAACCTGCAAGTAAAGACCACCCTGTAAATAAAGTCCACTCTTTCACAAACCTTCATTGATATAAAAATAAAGTAAACTCCGAATAAAGACCACTTGTCTATAAAGGCCATGTATGATCTCTCCTTTGGATGGCCTTTATTCACAGGTTGACTGTAATATCATATTAACATCAATTTTTTTTTAATTTCAGAGAGAACTAGGGCATATTTTTTCATGGTGATCAAGTTCATTCTACTAGTCACAGTTATAAGCTTGTTCTATATGTCAGAGGTAAGGTTTTGATGACCAGTCAACATATTCATTTTACATTATGGTAGAGTGACTATGTCCTGAAAAGTCTGATAAAAAATAGAGTAGGTGGGACAGTCATTGCAACAAGCAATGTTATATACCTAGATGTTCAAAACCACCAGCTAAATTGGCATAAATGGTGGCTTTGAGAAATCCAAGATGGCCGTTTTTAATACTGAATTCAATTTTTAGGCAGTAGACCAACTTTCTTGAAGGAAATCTAATGTGATTCAAAAGCTTGAAAACATAAAATTTGAAAATCATAAACAGATCAAGTAGGGCAATTAAAAATGAAAGATATGCAAAAGAAAATAAAGAAGTATACTCAGAACTACAATAGAAATGCACTTTCTTGTAATTTTTAGCCCGATTTGAGTTAAAACATTAAAACGCTTTTCAATTTTGGGTCATTTTCACATATAATGTAAATATTTTGGGAAAATATAGTGAATGACCTGAACTTTTGCATATAAGTTATTAGGTTATACCTACACATCAAATGGCACTTACAAATTTGGAAAAATATTTCCAGTCCCTTCATGTCAAAAAAACCTTGGTGTATTCCCCTGTATTTGAGTTGCTATAAAAAATGTTATGTTTAAGTCATTTATCACATACCTGTGCCGCTTTTGCGTCTCTGTAAAAATAGTATTGCACGGGCGTACATATATTTGACATGACATCATTTTCATTATATAAATGAAGCATTAAGAGGCGCTAAATGTTAGCATTGTACTATAAGCGCCCCAATGAAAAACGGTTCTATTTCACTTCTTTATTTTTGGTATATGATAAGTAGAATATTAAATTGGTGTAATTAAGTTCATTACTAAATTAATTGATTTCGATGAATTTACTAATATTATGATAGCCAGAGGCCCACATAATATAATTTTATTCAACTTTTTCAATAAATTCTGTATTAAACTTACATTCGTTCAATATCCTCTATTTATGACTGCTGTAAACTAGCATGTATCAATTTCAGGTGTTCTTTGAGAAGATATTTTTGATGCGACCATTAAAACCATTGTTTGTTACGTCAGATGACTCTATACATGAATGGAGATTCAGATGGCAGTTAGACCGTTACGTAAGTAAATTATTTCCTATTATTATGTTACTTATCTATGCCTTTAATCGTGTAGTTAAACCTATATAAATAAAAATGGTCTTAACTTGCTTTTTATGATCCAGAAGTGAGGCATATTAAAATTGCACTATCTGTCCGTCCATGGGTCCCCACTGACTCAACATTCATGTTTGGACTGTAACTTTATCATGCATTGAGGGTTTTTAAAATAACTTAGCCCAAATGTCTACCACACTAAGACAATGTATTATGTCAAAGAACCACATTCCTACCTCAAATGTCAAGGTCTCGCTTACAGTTTGTAGGTTCACATTCTCACATTTAGAGTTCAGTTGTACACACATTTGTGTCCAAACTGTAACTTTGTCATGCATTGTAGGAGTTTAAAATAACTTTGTACAAATTTCTACCACATCAAGATGACATGTCGCATTGTTGCTTCTAAGGCCCATGTCACTACCTAAAAGGTCACAGTCATACTTAAATGTTAAAAGTACACCACTTACACAACAAATTGTGGCCGGACTGTAACCTTGTCATTCAATGAACTTAGCACAAATGTCTTACCACGTCATGGTGATGTATTGGGGTAATGACCCATGTTCCTACCTCAACGGTCAAGGTCACACTTAAGTTTGAAGGTTCTCATTCTCACAATTAGAGTTTGAAGGTACACAATTGTGTCCGGACTTGACATGCATTGAAGGATTTTAAAATAACTTGATAATGAATTTATAATTATGCATAATCTCTTTCTATGATTTGGATGAAAATTAATTCTTAAATCAACAGCAGCTGTGAATACAAATAATGTAAAGGTAGAGATTTGCCAATGAAAATTATTGTAACAGACATGTAGTATTATTAGTTTAGTTGTTTCTTTTTACTGAGGAGGCCCCTGTGCCTGAGTAGTAAGGTCTCCAACTTAAATGTCTTGCTCCTCTTAGCTGTGAGTTCGAACCCTATCATGGACTTCGGATTCTTTCATGTGAGGAAACTATCCGGATTACTGACGAAATATCATTGTTCAACTCTGGTGCCTGCTCATGCCTGAAATACTACACAAAGTAAAGCTGTAAAGTTGCCATATGACCTTTACAATGTTGATTTTACTTAATATCCAAACAAACAAATTTCTTCTATTGCAGAGTGTTGTGTACGGAATGTTATTTGCTTTTGGCTACCTCATATTGAAGCGTTACAAAATTATTCAAGATATTGATAATAGAAATCTCTTCTCTACGGGAATATCCTGGATGTACACGCTGCTCGGTCTAATTGGATTAGGGGTAAGTTCTAGTGCTATCTACGAAGGGTACACAGTAAGGTTGACCAATCCGAGTTTGAATCTAGGGTTTATCATGTTTTTCCTTGATAAAGATAGGTTTGGTCACTTTCTTTCACTGAGCATAGCGGTCGGAAGGCTTAGGGGATTGCCCATGTCATGATGTCCCTCTGTAGACTGACTAAACAGTTGACTATGGGGGCATGCATGTCCTTTGAACAAATTTTTAGTTTTAAAGCGGCTTTCAGCTGTTAGTTATTTTTGGAAAAACAATTTTGTGCTACTGTAAACTAAGTATTTCAGTAATTTTATCTTGGAAAAATAAATCATATCATTGTTAAGCTTCAAAAAAGCGTCTTAAGTGCTATTTATAACATGTCAGTGATGTTTGTTTCTAAAAATAGAGGAATGGGAAACCAATTTAAATATAGAAAGCAGACTGGTAGGTTAGAGGTATCGAGGGTTTTCCTTATTGTTTATGTATCTTATCATCAGCATGTTTCATTTTTCGGCTTAATTCTTTTGATTTGACAATTATATGAAGCGATTTATCAAAAAATAACACACATGTATCTAACCTTTAGAAAAGCAGCTGCTGAAGGCCGCTTTAAAATGATTTATGTGGAAAAATTGTCAGTTACTTATGGAAAAACTGGTTAGTACTGGAATTGAAACGATAAACATGCAGATAAACATGCGCAAACCAGATGTTATCAGACTGAACCTAATAATCTTAACTAATAAAGAATCTAATTTTTATGATATAAAAAAATAATTTTGTTATAATCAACATAAAAAACAAAACATTTGACATAAAAAACAAAACATTTAATATTGTGTTATCGTTGCATGATTTAGCTAGTGGTATTTTGGCAATAACATTTGTGATGACTCAGGGCGAGGAAAAATGTGATCTAATGAAATCCTTTGTTTCTTTTTAGAGTTACGCTGCCTTCTCGTGTTTGTGTAGAAATAAACAAGAGTGTAATGATGTACATTCATACATCATGTTTATCCCTGTAAGTATATTTACCGTCATAGTACAGGATGCCTCCTTGCCAGAGTGATTAATTAATGACACTGACTTTTAGCTTACTATCTATGAGTGTTGTGGCCATTGAATTGTTGTTTGCATATTTAAATCTTATGGAAAAAATGTGTTTTTTGTCGATACTTACATTCTGATATCTGACCTTATTTAGCTCCTAAATATACAGGGGCAACAGAGGGGTCTTCCTCCACCAGTAAAGCTGGAAAGTCACCATATGACCTATACTTTGTTGTTGCAACGTAAAGCTCAACCAACAAGTGAACAGCCAAAAAAAATGTATAAAGCCAGGCCAGCTGACACATCCACATAGTCTGACCAGGCTTCATGCTTCAGGTACAGTGTAACTTCTGAAAACCGAACACCTATGGGACTAGCCAAAAAGTTCGGAAATTTGAAGTTACCGGAATTCAGAAGTTCGGAATAATTAGTAGACACACTAAACATCAATTGTTTAAGAAAGTCAAAGTTTATACCTATATTAAATATCTTTGTAATCTATAACTGAATTTGTTGATGCAATAGCATAATGTTAATTATCACAATTTATCCTCTAGTATATTTCATGTAGTACCAGCTATTAACCTTTAATCTTTGTTTTTAATCCCATTATACTTCTCAGTCTTTAAATTCACACTTCACCATAATCAAGTGTTTGACATGCTTGACAGGTTGTGATTCTAATAGGTGTCAAGATAAATGGTTGAAATTGATAATTGGAAGATACTGAGATTTTGAAGATTTTACAATCATGAGTATTATATGTTCCTTCACATCTTTTCATTTCCAGATTTTGGAAGTAAATTTTCATTAATATAACTCAATTTTTTCTAGAAAATCGTTCAGAATTCAGAATTTAGAAGTTCCATAATTCAGAGGTTTTTATTATATAGAAAACAGAAGAAGAAATTTTGGGACCCTGTAAAATGTTCAGATTTCAGAAGTTTCCGGATTTTAGAAGTTTCGGAATTCGGAAGTTACACTGTAGTTCAAATTTTTGTACCTGAATGTTAAAATCCCTCCAACTCGAAATGAACTGTTCCAAACTCAAACCAGAGAGATCCAGTTCACAAGTTCAGCAGGTTATGGATTAGACCATATAACAGTAAATGTCAACTTTTTATATCTTAATATTTGTTTCTGTTTTCAGATTGTCTCATTTATACTTGTTAGAAATATTCATGGAGGAATTAGAACACGTTATAGCTCATTCTTTGCTTGGTTCGGTAGAATTTCATTAGAGGTAAGTAGGAGGTAAAGTGGGCAAATGCGCACTAATTTAGTTGAACCCTTGACAGGCTTGTTATCTTAAACAGGCTTGTCTATCCTTTGGTCTATACTAAGCTATTTATCACATTTTTTGTAAAAATTTTAAAATAAGTTCTTACTGAATAAAAGAATAGGAAATTGTGAAGACCATGATCAAACAGTACAGATATGCCAGTTGACCTTGGTCTGCACTGGCTGCATGTGTAGATTGTTGCTGCCAGCCAGGCTAAGCATTGAACCTATTGATTTTAGCTAAGATATGAAGAAAGCTTAGTAGGGTTTTAACCCCATGAAACCTTGGTTGAGTGGCAGACATTTAAACCACTAGGCAACCCTGCACATCTGTGCTTGTCAGACATGCTTCTTAATAGAATGTTTATCAATAATTAATGATATTGAATGTTTATCAGTAATTAATGGTATAGAATGTTTATCATTGATTTACGGAATATAATGTTTATCAGTTGTTTACGAAATAGAATGTTTATCAATAATTAATGGTATAGAATGTTTATCATTGATTTACGGAATAGAATGTTTATCAGTTGTTTACAAAATAGAATGTTTATCAATAATTAATGGTATAGAATCTTTATCAATTATTTACGGAATATAATGTTTATCAATTATTTATGGAATAGAAGGTATATAAATGATTTATTGTCTTGAATGATTATACATGCATCTTAGAATTAACTTATCAATGGCTTATCTTCTAACATGTGTTATATATATTTTCAGTTATTTATTTCCCAGTACCATATCTGGTTAGCTGCCGACACCCACGGTGTTCTTGTGATGATACCTAGCTACCCCGTATTAAATGTGATAATCACGAGCTTTATATTCATCTGTGTAAGCCACGAAATTTCAAACATTACGATTGTGTTGACTAAATACGCCGTACCAAATGAATGGAAAGCTTTACTTAGAAACATAATAATAATTGGACTTGTGTTAGTTCCCCTTTGTATATCACGAGGAGTTATCTGAGATCTATTTTTAGAAACGTGAAGGGTTAGCTTTTAGATAAGACAATGCGGCGAATTTTTCAATGAATTTCCCGTTCATTGTTGATGGCAGAGGAATTTGTGATATGTTATAGGTAAATTTAAATGTTGTTTAAGGAATATGCAATGTTTGGAGTTAAAAACCAGGATCTTGCCATAACCAATTTATAAAAACCATGAACCTAGTGAATTAAGTTCTAAATACTAAGTAAAAGTGTTTTTAGATTATGTCAATTTCATTTAAAAAAAGGTAAAATCTGTGGAGGCGTAACAGAGATTGTAAATTAACAAAAGATACTGAACAAAGAGTTTTTTGAAGGTGTAAATACACTGTTTCTAAGATATTTAAAAACTCCTATTCCAATCTGATTGTATCAATTTAAGATAATTGACTATAGAAATATGCTGACTAATGTTCAGCTTTAAAAACAACAGTCCTGCTGTAAGAACAATAGTGACTGAAAAAATGCAAAGCTGTGCTCCAAGAACAATATTGGCCGTAACTGTGACAACAACAATATTGGTCGTATTGTGCTCCAAGAACAATATTGGCTGTATTGTGCTCCAAGAACAATATTGGCCATATTGTGCTCCAAGAACAATATTGGTCGTATTGTGCTCCAAGAACAATAGCAGCCGTATTGTGCTCCAAGAACAATATTGGCCGTATTGTGCTCCAAGAATAATATTGGCCATATTGTGCTCCAAGAACAATATTGTCTGTACTGTGCTCCAAGCATAATATTAGCCGTATTGTGCTACAAGAACAATATTGTCTGTACTGTGCTCCAAGCATAATATTGGCCGTATTGTGCTACAATAACAATATTGGCCGTATTGTGCTCCAAGAACAATATTGGCCGTATTGTGCTCCAAGAACAATATTGGTCGTATTGTACTCCAAGAACAATCTGGGCCGTAAATATGTGACAAGTTGTACTGCAGAGACCATATAAGCTGTAACTGTGACAGGTCATGCTGAGGACAATATTGACCTTTATTATGTGACAAACCATGTTATATGGACAATATTGGCTGTTATAATGTTGGCTGTAATTATGTGGAAGCCCAGCTATTTGGACACTATAGGCTGGAATTATGTGAAAATAAAAGCTATGTGGACATGTTGGCTGTTATTTTGTGATGAGTCATGATGCAAGAACAAAACTGGATGTTGTAACACTGTTATTACATGAAAGTCAAACAGATAATATTGACATGAACGTTTCTTGTTGCCAGAATACGGTTGGGTTATATGATTTACAAAGAATCATAATGTGTATAAGAACAGTATTGACTGTGTTACATAACAAGTGAAACATATGATATTGGTACCCCAAACCAAAGACATACTATGATTTAAACTATATATAATGTTTATGAGATTTAACTAGCTATAACCAGTTGTAGTGTTGGACAATCAAAATTGTAATATATGATGGGGGAAAATCACTGTGAATAAACCATTAACTTGTAAAACCATTCCTGTTGAAATACCTTGTATATTTATTATCTGTAAACATGTTGTGATAAATTATTAGTTTGAGTAGTTCCTTGTTAGTGTGTACGATCATAGGAAATTTATTTTTATTTTCTAAGTGAATGATTAAGTGTTAAGTTCAAAATGTTCAATCCATGGAGTGGGTGGGGAAAGGTTTGGGGGAGTTCTATGTACTGTTTGAAAATATATGTATATTAACCAGGGAAACATACGTGAAAAATCGCTTTAAAAAAAATGGAACTCTTATAAATTTTGTTATATAGATATCTTTTCAACTAATTATTCAAATGAAAAATGCATTAACAATAAATGCACAAGTTATATGTAACCAAGACACCTCAGTCCAAAGAGAGAAACAGAGTCTTTTTATTTTAGGACCAGTTTAAACTATGGTAAATCTCCTCCCTACAGATGGACAGTCAGACGGTATATTACCTCTTATTTTGCATGTAATGCAGGTTAGGCTTTGTTATAAGCATCCATTGGTGTAGAAATAGCACCCCTGGATTGACCATGGTGGTGTAAGCCGTCCGGTTAGCTCAGTAGATAGAGCTTTGGACTGTGAATTGGGCGACCTGGGTTTGATTCCGGATAGCGCAGGTCAGTTTCATTGTGATTGATCATGAAATCTTTTCTACTGTCATTCGCACTGTACTTCTGCTCTGGTATATACAGAAGTTTCCTTGATAAAGTGAAGGCAACTAGTACTGGTAAACTGCTTGACAGCCTGCCCAGGAACGATGCAGTGGCTGAACTGTGCTGTGGTAAATTCAACATGATCTTGAGTGAAAACTACCAACACCACCATAGTGGTGCTAGGGATATCTTGATGTAAAATCATGGCTAATTTTCCACCGTTATCCCTCAGTCCTCAAGGTTCTTGGCTAACAAATGACAGGTGCATTATGGGTGAACTTTTATTGAATAACCAGTAAAGAAATAATAAGACAAGTGATTTGGGTATTAATTGTGTTCATATATACAGGTTTTACTGTAGCTTTTCAATCTTAAATGAGCATTTGATCTATAGATATGTTCTTTGAAATTAGGAGTTATTAATTGTGTTCAGAAGAATTTTTTTTCTTTACAATTTTGGCGATTATCAAAATGTAGTATAAAGTCAATATCAAATATATGGACTTTTTGACATTGTTGGATCGATGCTTTGCAAACGAACAAATTTTTTCTAGTAGTTTTACTTTTTCATGACATTTCTTATTTTATTTACTCGTGGATAAGACCTACCTCTTATAAGGCAGGGGTCTAAAATTGGTGAAATTTTGCAATTTTGCTTAGACCCCCCTATAAGACCAGAGGAATTCTTTTTGGTTGGGACATCTTTGTTTTTCTTCATAGAGACTATATTTTATTTTCTATTTTTTGGGGGGAAGATTTATTAAGATATTTAATATTTAGAAATTTCATTTGCACATCCTTAAGTAATATTGTGATCAATAGGGTCAAGGTTACGGAAGTTAGAAAATAAACATTATCTTTGTAATACAGTGTATTTGGTATGATAGTACCTTGTATGAACCTGTTGCTTCGGGTGTTAAGGGGGAAAACTGGCATATTGATTTTGAAATTTAAAAAGTGTTTACATTTGTAAATTATTATCGTGGAAAGAAAAAGTATTTCATAAGTACGTTAATTTAAGTGGGCGGGGACTCTTAAGACATTTATATAACAAGAATATTTTTCTTTTGGGGGTAAATTTATTCTGCGAATTTTTTAAATAATTGAATAACACTTACAAGAATAAGTTTAACAACATCTTAATGTTATTTATATTTAATGATTTTTGTTTATAGATTTTTTAAGATGATAAGAAATACAATTCTTAGATTAGGTTTTGTACTGTGGAATCTATTATGATACATTCCAGTGTTGTTTCCCTGAATATCTGCTATGTAGAACATGGATAGTTGTGAACAAATTTTTGACAATTATAAATTAATTTTTGCAGTACATGAATAACCTAGTAAAAAAATGTGAATCAAATACTAGTACATCAAAATGTTATACCAGTACATGTGTAAATGTCCAATTAAAATGATATATGAATAACCCCATGATGTAGTGTTGTAAAAATGTTTTATAATTTTAATACTAGTATTCCAATAAACTCATATGTTGATAAATAATATTTCTCTGCAACAAACCATGCCTTAAATATTGAGATGATTTAGCAATTTTTAGGAAATTGAGAAAATTGAGGAAATTCAATTGTAATTCAAATGAGAATAGTACAAAATTTATATTAAAACAGTGCTTTTCATAAAAAAAAAAAAATTCATGCATATGTTTAAAAATGAAAATCTTCACAATCTTTGTGGTATTTTCAAAGATAAAATTTGGAATTTTTTCACAGTTTGTTGACTTGGAAAAGGCCAATTTTCAGCTTCTTTTTTATGCAAATAAAATCACTGTTACAATTCTTTTTAGTGACAGTAAATTGATATTTATGATATGACTGTGTTTACACTAACTGTTTCAATGGAATTTCGTAAACACTTTATTTTCAGTGTTTTATTTAAAAAATAATACATGTATACTAGTATCCCAAACATTGATTTTATTGCTCAATAAAATCACTGTTTGAAATTTGGATGCGAGAAATTCTATCACTCGGGCTACGCCCTCGTGATATACTGATGCACATCGGAATGACAAACAATGCTGTAAAATCACAGATTTGGATATATTATTTTGATTCTAACACGACACCAATAGATGCTGTCGTACCTGATATTAAGCTAAATTTAGCCTGATTTGTTTCCGTACTTATTTTCAGCACATCACATTTTAGTGGTTACATCACATGTATAATGATTATGTCACATGTCTAAATAAAGAACGTCAAAACTGTGATTTTATTGCATAATAACACACACTTTTGGTTCATTATGTTCAGTAGGGCAAAATGCGGGTCGTGTTGGAATATAGTGTTTTATGATTCAAAAATAAAGTTGTGTTACTTTGTTATATAACAACATGTGTTTACATAATCTGTATTAATTACTATGTGTGTGTAATCTGTGTGGCTGTTAAGTTAATATGCCAGAAAATTGCTAAAAATACCAAATTTGATACTTGTGTAAAAGATTGTGTAGTGTAGTGTTTCCACCTTTTGAGTCCCCTGAACCCCACCCACCCATACCCCCACTCCAGACCCCACACTCTTGTTTTTACCTTTCATAATATTCACTTGACACTTTGAGAAATATTTCCTCCTTGGGGAAAAAAGATATATTTTCATTACAGTTAAGTTGAAATTTCAAATATTAAAGAAATATTTCCTCCTTTAAAAAGATATATTTTCATTACAATTTGGTTGAAATTACAAATACAGAAATGTATTAAAATCAGGATTTAACAATGGGTAATTTAGAAATTTAAAATCCAAGTATCAGAAAGGCATCAGAAATATAATGTCTGCCTGCTTAATTCAATAGGGAAAGTATCAGATTAATAATCCAGGGATTCTGTCCTCTGGCAAGGCATAATTTCTTGGACATTGAGTCCAGTGGTCATTTGTTTCTCAATTGGGATTAGTAGTCGGTCACTCACAAAAAAATTTGTAATTACTGGTCATTTCTCCAGAACAGCTGGTTACTTGTATTGACCGCAGAGGAATGACCAAAAACATGTGTTAAATCAATGTGTAAAACATAAAAAGTAACATTAAAAATAATGAAAAAAGGATGTAATTATAATTTCAAATACACATGTATTAAGTTCTCATATGAGGAAAAGTATCTGTGTTCCAGATGAGCCGCGTCACGACAAAACCAACGTAATACGTTTGCGACCAGCATGGATCCAGACCAGCCTGCGCATCCGCGCAGTCTGATTAGGATCCATGCTGTTCGCTATCAGTTTCTCTACTTGTTATAGGGTTTGTAAGCGAACAGCATGGATCCGGATCAGACTGCGCGGATGCGCAGGCTGGTCTGGATCCATGCTGGTCGCAAACGCATTACATTGCTTTTGTCATGACACATATGTTAATTATTATATAGATTAAATTTTTTGTTATATCATTTAAGACCACAATTGTTTTCTATTTTTACTATTAGAGTAGAGCTCACTTGTTTAGAGACACCATTCTTTTAAGGACAGAATTAACTTGGATGGACCTATGTTCCACAGGTTTGACTGTGAATTAAATCAGTAAATTACAGGTTTAAAAAATACAGTGTGACCTCTACCGAGCGGTAACCTCTTTACAACAGCAAGGTCAGTTCCTTGTTAATAATGTTAACCTCTTTGGAGCAATCTCACCCGACAACTACCAAAATCATGGTCTCCCAAAGGATTTTGCTCTGCGGAGGTTATATGATATGTATTATTATTAAGCTTCCAAACTACACTGATTTTTCTTGGAAAAATATTCCTTGTTTTACTAAAACTTATAGTCTATTTTTGTTGTTTTTTTAATATGTACATGATAAAAAAAAATGTTTTTTGTATCATTTTATATAAACAGTCAATGCAAATTCACCCATGTTTCAGAACCCATTAATGTCAGAACTTGTCATGGAAAAAAATCTATATCAAGTCAACTGGTAGTATACTTCTTTAATTATTTTCACCTTCTTTTGAATGTGCCACTGTTTGTTACTATTTTTATACAAGATATTGAACTGTTATATGATTTTTTTTTTGTTTATTTTCCTCTTCTTTTTTTTCCCCCCTTATACCTTTTTTATACATGAAATGTTTATTTCCAATATGTGATCAAGTGTTAACTGCCTTTTAAGTTTATTTTTGAACATCAAGTTTTGTTTTGTGTATTGCTGTTTCAACAAACAAAAAGATTAAAGTTGTGTAAAAACACACAAATTTCTTATGTTTGCCAATGTTTCATATATTTCTTTACTTACACCATATTTTCAAGATGCAACTTGTCCACATGGCTTAAGTGGGGAAACTTGTTTCTCTTTTAGTTCTTTTGATGTCTAGTGGTGATATTGTCAGGCCCGTCGCCAGCCACATTATCAGGCCAGACAGAAAGTAAATCTGTACTGTGTATAAGTGCGTTTCAGACATAATGCCAGAAAATAGGGTTAAATTACGAGGTATACGATAAAAGGGTCATTGTAAAAGTATCTTGGTCCTGTACGAGTATTGAGCTTTCGTGAATTTTATTAGGTCGGATCTCACTTAGTGGTTGTGGGATCTCACCCCACCTCCAAGTGAGATTTGGTCACAGTAAAAATGTGCTAGAGTCAAATACAATTTACAGATTATGATAATCGTACAATAACCACTTTTCTATCCAATACTACCTGGGTGTGACAAAAATGTTATAATAATGTGGTGAAGGTAAAGAAATATAGGGAAAGAATATAATTGTTACTGGGTAACCCTGTGGTGCTTTAGTGTATTAACTGTCATTAGATTTTCACCCTTATTATCAAATAAGACAGTTAATTTGAGGAGGTTAATTACAGCTCAATTTCACTGCTTGTTTTTGTCTTTAACTGTTGAATATTATTAATATGATGAAACAAATAAAGGTTGAATAAACAACACAAATTGCTTTATTTTTTTATGCCATTCTTCAAAGAAATGGAATTGTTTATTTTTATGCCAATCTTCAAAGAATGGAGAGTTTATTGTTAACCCTCTACCTACCAAAGTTCTTAAAATATAATTGTCCAGCTTCCATTTTCAATTTAAGGGATGTTTATGAGGAAGATTTGAGTCAGTTATCCAAACCAACGGTATAGAGCTTGGTCAGAAGGCCCAGACGTGAAAGCCTATATGGCATTACACTGGTAACAAATGTATCATTATTTTTGATAGATGATTGTATAATTATGAAAATTCTGTACATTGATGGTTGAGTAGAAAAACCATAGAGTCCAGGGAAGGTTTAAGATTCACCCTTTTTTTATGTGCCCGAAAGAATTTCGGGAAATATTATGTTATACCCTGGCGCTCGTCCGTTAGCAAATTTGGTTTCCAGAGCATAACTTAAGTTTCCATTTGGCCCACAATATTCAAACTTCATAGGATGATTATCTCATATTCGGATAGAACACCCTATTGATTTTGGGTCACAAGGTCAAAGTCACTATTACCTTAGAACTGAAAAACAGTTTTCCGGAGGCATACTTAAAGTTCCATTTGGCCCACAGTGTTTTTCAAAAACTTCATAGAATGATTGTTCATATTGGGTAGAAGACTTCTATTGATTTTTTGGGGTCACAGGCAAAGGCCACTAGACCCTTAAAAATGAAACAGTATTCTGGACTAACTTAAAAGTCCATTTGCCCTACAGTTTCAACTTCATTTGGATATTGTTATTTAAAGGAGGTAATACTTTATTTAATTCCAATGTCTTACAAATGCTTCATCTTTACTTAAAAAAAAAAAAAAAAAATTCGGGCATATAATGCTCAGCCTAGCGTTGCTCTTGTTGTTGGGGTTTTACATCGCCCAACACAGTATAGGTCATATGGCGAGGTTCCAGGTTTACTGGTGGAGGAAGAACTTGTTGGGCCTTTCCATGCATAATTTTAGACATAAACGAGCACGGAGTAGATCCACTGACTTTCTGCAAACTAGCTTAATAGCTTCCTCACATAAAAGAATCCATGTCCCGGTCTGGATTCAAATCCACAGCAACATAAGGCTAGTGGTTTGAAACCACACGGCAATGAATGCTCCCAGATTAAACGGACATGTCCATTATTGTCTGAAGCATTTCTTAACTTATGTGTATGATATTCATATAGTATGGTCTTGAAAATATACACTTGTCCTGCTCCATTCAGGCTGTGGGACAACCTGGGCAATATAAGCAATTCATTTTGCCATCCCTTCGATCAGAGTAGAGAACTTTCAACTGTTTTTCTGGCTTTTAAAATTTCATATGGTGACAGACAATCTTATCAATAAGAAACAAACACTTTGCATAAATGACGTATAAAAGAAACTTTTATTTGATAATTTAGCATGACACAATATTGAATACAAACAATCAACTACTATGATAAATTATACTGTATAAATGGTTACTTATTCTCATAAAGATTCTTGCAATGTCTGGTCAATTTCCAACATGTAGAAAATTAGCAAAACTCATGTCAATCAATTTTTTATCAAGATTACAAAAGTAACCATTTTTACAGTACATGAAAAAAAGCTTTTGAGATAAAATCACTTCTTTCAAGGCATCCATGAAAAGTCAAGAGTTAATTATAAAATATTGCAGTATAATAGACATTGATATTAACAAATTTAACTTACCAATATTTTGACATCGTATTTTCCTTTAATATGTTCAAACTACACATAAGCTTAAGACAAAGTTATTAAACAAATGCGAAGAAAAAAAGGTTTGCTTTTAATACATTTACACACATCGAGTATATCTACAGTTATCAATTTTCAAAATGTCGAACCAATGTCCGTAGTTCATTAATAGGCATATAAAGATTGCATTATTGTTTTTATTTTTAGAAACCTCTCCGACGAAATTCCTTTCTGTGTGATAAACGCATCTTCTTTGAAACTTTCATATCGTCTGCGGGATATTCCAATGGGCGATTTATGTACAAAATGTGCTTTAAAATAACATAACTGTTACACTATGTGTTTACAAACTACTCATCACTATGACAGAGGTGATGCATTACTGACTTCATAGCAAAAGAAAATTAAGATGATGATAATGACTTTATAAAAATCTTAAATTACATATATGCTTCCAACTGATACAAGGCGTCCCCCTTTAGAAACCATGGACCTGAAATGAAAAAAAAAAATTGTAAAACATTTACCTATGCAACCAGAAGATTTTTTATTTTGTTTGCTGCCTGTTTAATCAAATAATATGTGAACAAGTATTTTAAAGTAGTGCACAAATTTTTATCCATAGTTTTTTGCACAACATGTTGATTAAAAAATAAAACAGAAATTCTAATTTTCTATGCTGTAATAGAAAAGGAAGGATAACAATCTGAAGTCAATCCCTTCTGCTGCCTTCAGTAAAAACAAGAGCCCGGTTTGAGCCGGGTGATGCTCCCCGAATAGGTTTTGGACACAGGAAAGTACACCTCTTGTAGTTTCAGAGTTATGTCCCTGGAAAAAGTTCAAAGTGCAATAATTCCAAAATTAGGAAAGGCAGAGTTACTGTTCTTTCCACTGCACTTCTAATCACTGTTATCTATCAACTTACAAAGTTTCTTGTTGATATCTCTTATGGTTTCCGAGTTATGTTCCGGACAACTTCAAAAAGTAAAAATAAACAAATGGCAATAACTCCAGAATTAGGCAAGGCAGAGTTATGATTCTTGTGCACTGCACATCTACCCATTGTGATACATCTACCTACAAAGTTTCATGTTGATATCTCTTATAGTTATACAGCTATGTCCAGTACAAGATTTTTCAAAAATGAGGCTTAACAGAGTTATGGTTTTTTGGCACTGCACTTCTACTCAATGAGATCTATCTACCTACAATGTTTCATCTTGATATCTCTTATAATTTTAGAGTTATGTTCCGGACAAAGTTCAGTGTTAAAATTAACAAAGGGCAATAACTCCAAAATTAGGACGAAAAGAGTTATTGTTCTTATGCACTGCACATCTACCCATTGAGATCTATTCACCTACAAAGTTTCATGTTGATGTCTCTTATAGTTTTAGAGTTATGCCCCGGACAAGATTTTTCTATAAGGGGAGATAATTCAAAAATGAGGCTTAACAGAGTTATGGTTCTTTTGCACTGCACTTCTACTCAATGAAATCTATCTACCTACAAAGTTTCATCTTGATATCTCTTATAGTTTTAGAGTTATGTTCCGGACAAAGTTCAAAGTGTTGAAATTAACAAAGGGCAATAACTCCAAAATAAGGACAAAAAGAGTTATTGTTCTTATGCACTGCACAATTACCCATTGAGATCTATTCACCTACAAAGTCTCATGTTGATATCTCTTATAGTTTTAGAGTTATGCCCCGGACAAGATTTTTCTATAAGGGGAGATAATTCAAAAATGAGGCTTAACAGAGTTATGGTTCTTTTGCACTGCACTTCTACTCAATGAGATCTATCTACCTAAAATGTTTCATCTTGATATCTCTTATAGTTTTAGAGTTATGTTCCGGACAAAGTTCAAAGTGTTGAAATTAACAAAGGGCAATAACTCCAAAATTAGGACAAACAGAGTTATTGTTCTTATGCACTGCACATCTACCCATTGAGATCTATTCACCTACAAAGTTTCATGTTGATATCTCTTATAGTTTTAGAGTTATGCCCCGGACAAGATTTTTCTTTAAGGGGAGATAATTCAAAAATCGGGCAAAATAGAGTTATGGTTCTTTGACACTGCACTCCCCCTCAATGCCCTCTACCACTGTATGAAGTTTAAACAAATTATCTCCAAGGGTTTTCAAGTTATGCTCCGGACAAAAAAACGGACGGACAGACGGACGGACGGACAGACAAGGCGCCGACTATATGCTCCCCCGAAATTTTTCGGGGAGCATAAAAATGCTATGTTCAAAAAGTTTATAAAATTTACAAAAAATATATCAACTGTCAAAAAAAAACAAAAAAACTTTCAAAATGATAATTTTGCAATTTCAGGTGCTTAATAGGGGTGTAACAATACAGCAAAAACCGTATTGCAATATATTGCCATTTTGCTGAAGCGTATTGCAATATATTGCAATACGTATTGTCGTGTATATGTTTTGATGTAAAGATGTAGTAACATACATATATTATTATTATATGTATATACATTTGTATTTTAGTAAAAAATGTAAGGAATAAATAGAAAGTAAAGTGTCACACAATTTGATAAACAAAACTAGTCGCGTGTGACCTTTCACATCTGGGCCGCTTATGTAAATTATGCGGCCGCTTATTGACTTTTAAGTGTACTAGTTGTCGGATACTTTTATCTTACGTTGGCGCCAACAAAATTCGCCAATTAAAGATTTTATGTGAAATTTGTACAAAATTAGAAGGCAATTAATTGAAAATTATGAAATACCGGTTTTCCGAAAATCGTACCGCGGTACAAAATTTATTTTTTCATATTGCAATATATCGGTATACCGGTAAACCGTTACACCCTTAGTGCTTAACATATAAATCTAATCACAGATAAACATATATTTTAAGTTTGAAGTATATATCAACTAATGCTTTGAAAAAAAAACAAGCCAAATATGCCAAAAGCTTTAACTCCTTCCATTAGTGGAAGGTTTGGAAGTCATTTACTCCTGACTTCAAAAATATAGCCCTTTTCCATCTTTACCTACATAATGTTTTGACTTCCAGTGTCAGACATTTTGCAGTCTCTGACTTCCAAATTTTGGAACTAAACGGAAGCCAAATATATAGGCTCAGCTATATACTGTTCGATCTCATTAGACCCCAAAATACCACTAAATGACCAAAATAAAACTGAACACAAAAAAATCTGCCCAGTAATTTTCTTTTCAAATATCTGTTCCAAGTTCAAAATTGCTCATGTTTTGGTTCTAAGTAAATGTTTTCTTATATGACATATAAATACCTTTATGTTTGATTCCTTGGCAATACCGACTTTCTTAAGGAATTCTTTAATGTGATTTCTCTGGTCACCCTGGAGCTGCACAATCTCCCCGTACTCTGGGTGCTCCACTACAGTACCATTGCAAGCAAACTCCTACAAACAAACAACATTCAAGTATAATAACATAACAAGTTCACTTACAAACAAAGGGTGTTTTATTCCTCAACTTGTGTTCTTTATAAAATATAACTTATAAGCATGTTATTCCTTTGTTCACAGATCAGGGCCAGATCTGACCAATTTGGTAACCTGGATAAAAAATACGCACTCTCCTGAAAAAGACCCCTATATTTACCACTGTCTATATTCTGTAATATATATTACAAATTGAAATACGGAATAAGCCTACTACACGTATACTTCTGGTTAAGACCCTAGTCCTAATTATAAGACCCAGGGCTCTAGCTAGACCAAAATTTTAGGGAGAAGTGACTTCTCCCTCAGCTCCTATCAGGGAAGAGTTTGACGACATAAGGAGAAGTGAAAAAGTGCATTGATTTGATCTATGAAAAGGAGTTTTACCTATTTATTGATAGTGATATTTGAAGTATAAGTTCTAAAACCCTCTATCATCAGACCATTATAATGTTTTCTTCCTGATTAACTCCACACACCCCCCTCTTTTAAGAAAATATTCATTGTACAACACATACTGGCAAAATTCTCAATGAAAATTAATGTAAACAATACCTTAGGGAATTTTCATTAATAAACTACATTTTAAGTGCTATTGGATATTGGACACATTTTAACAAAACAAATTTTTCTTTTGGTAACTATTATTTTCATCGTAAAAATCGGCATCGCGAAAATATGTGACAAATGAAAATTTGTCTGTTTCCTGCAGAAACACTTACAATTCTAGTTGTTGTTGATTTTGATTATATTTAAATGTTTAAAATTCCAATGAAATTATTTTTAGATTGTTATTCATCTGCTATTGCAAACAGGCATCGTAAACAAAAATTTTTCAAATTTGTAGTTTACCGCATAATTTACCGACGTTTATGTAACTTTTTGAAGACAAAGTTTATCTACTACTGTTTTTGACTTGTCCAAAATTGGTCTAATGTGGGTCAATGTTTTTTAAGTTCTTTAAAAAAATTCATTTTTACTATCAAACAGGTGTCAAACCATTTACTTGTGCTTCTGTGTGTATTAATTTATATGCAAGTAAATTTACACGGTCTGTGTGAGGTTGCGTGTAATTACTGTCAAATATGGTAAGAGCAATTCCAGATGTAATTTTTTTTTACATTCGCTGATAAAATAGTGGCAGGTATGCCTAAAAAATGTGATGTTTACATTGGCGTTTCTCCGATGCATCTGCATATCGTGTCACTTAAATGTGTTAATTGATGTCAATTATCGGCAGTAACTGTGCGTCACCAATTCAGTTTGATTTATGCCTGGAGGCGAGGATTAACTTAATTAACATGCACTGTATGATATATATGTACATGTGGTCAGTAAAAAAATGCGGCGAAATCGTTTTCGCTTTGATGTTCAAACTCGGCGAAGTTCTGACACTTTAGGCGACTAAGTCGCCGAAATCGCCCAGTTGCTAGAGCCCTGGTTAGACCTATACATAACCTATTTCATATTTATCATTCATTAATCTGACATTTTACATTTTTCATTTCCCATGTTACGTTAGGTCTTAACAGATCTTTGCAAAATCGTGTAGCAAAAAAGTTGACATTAGACATCGATTTAGATCTAATGAATTTAAACAATTAAAACAGCCTGTATTTACATTAATTTTGACCTATTTATGAACTAAACTAAAAAATGAATACCTTTTAACAAAATAATTGAACTGTCACTTCCGAAAAGTCATGATTAAATCCTCTGATTAAATTAAATTCCTTGTACAGCCAATGGCTGCCATACAGTGCTCGAAATCTGATTGGCTAATTCAAATGCAAGCCTTTAAATGAGTCCAGAAGTTTCTAACAGAATATTTTTTCAAGGAAATAATTGCCCATGCACCATCAGTGTGTCCGAATATATTTTTCCGTTCAAAAAATTTGAATAAATCTGTAAAATGCTTTACTTAACCAGTATGGCCGATGAGCAAAATAGACTGAAATTTATATTTAATTATTTTATTTTTAATTGATAAGTACATTGTTTAAAAGTTTTTGTTAATGATAGACCATGCAATTGAAAGAACAGAAGATAAGCTTTTGTATAAAGCTTGAAAGGCAAGTCAACAGACATTTTTTTAATTTTTCAAAATGCTACGTGTTTATGAGCAATAACTATAAGACATCAGGCTTGACCAACATAAAACTAAAACAAGCCTGTAACATCTAATCTATTGGACTAGTTAAGACCCTAATATCTGATCAAGTAAATAGCCAAAAAGCTACATAAAAATAGGACAAATTATCAGACTTGGGCCATCCCTTAAAAAATGTTTTGTTTGCAGTAACGCGACCGACTCACAAAATTTGCCCTATAAAAAAATTTTTTTTCATGGTCTGGATAAAAAAAATTTTTTTTGAATCAGAAAATTATGCCTTGTGCTTTGTTTTCGTCTTTTAAAGGTTAATGGAAGAAATAAAATGTAGGTCTTATTAAATTAGAATTCAAGTTATCAATTTATTAATTGTTACCAGTTATCAAAGCATAATTATACTTGTCCAGCATTTTGAAATTCCATGTTTATTTGGAGTACAGTTCAATAAAAAAAAAAATCGACCTACCTACTCACCTTGAAAATTCTGGGTCAGGGTTATAGTCCTTCATTGAAAAGACATCGCATTTTTTCTTTTTTTACATTTTGACGTTTTCGGGAAAAGTGGCCCGAAAGTCCTTTCCATCCCTGGCTAATTTCCCCATAGCACTAATCGACATCGCTTCTCGAGTCGATTTTGAATTTACCGGTAAATTGACAACTTAAATGTTTTTTATCACAAAGCAATTGATTGCATAAAAGAGGAAGCATATTTTTCCCAAACAACTGTAAAAATATGCAATAATTACTCACGATAAGTAGTCATATTATCCATTATATTTTAAGAAGACACATGAAGACAGTTTGCGGTACCCCCCAATTGGAAAATTCCCAGTCATGCTGTGACGTCACTCAAAAACAATAGTAGAAATTAGTCTGAACGAAAAAAAATTCTGTTGTGATTTAAGACGCTGACAGGTGCGCGCAATAAAAATTTCGTCTAAAAAAATATGGTTCCAGTAATCACCGCATGCGTAGTGCACACAATATGGAGGCTGTTTACACAATTTTAAAAACGGGATTTGTTTTAAATTTGTTTAAAAAGTTGATTTGATAAGGAAAAACACAGCATTTATGGTGGATTATGATTATTGCAACATTTTAAATCGGAAGTTTGGAATGATTGTGCCCATTGTTTATTGTTTTCATTTTGGCTATGGATTTTTAAATAGATATCTTTAGACGTTAAGCGGATTTGCAACGCCATGTAAAAAATAGCTTCAAACCCGCGGTTACGTCTAAATTTTGGGACTAGGTCGGGGTTACTGCAAACAAACATTTTTTAGGGATGGCCTTGTCCGAAAAAAGTGAAACAAAAAATATACCTTTTTTTGCAAAGCTTTCACAAAATTTTCCTTGAAATCATAAATCGGATTAATCCCTTGGACAGTTGTCAGTGTTTTACGGCCGTTACGCTGTTGTATTCGAATGTGGACTAAATTGTCTTGACCCCCTCGGCCAACATCTTCTTGTTGATCATTAAAAGGATCGCCTGATCCTGAAAAATATTATGTCAAACTTTTATAAAAACTAAATTTATTATGTAAAGAAATAAAATAACACATTATTCATTAGTTACAGAACTATAAACTTTAATATCAGAATACCTTCTACTACAAAATCATATCTTTACACCTCTTGGAAAATCGTATCTTAAGAGAAATAAAATCAACACACAATAGCATCAATTCTTTTAAACTCAAAAGTGGTGCTATTTAGTGAAATAAAAAAAAAATCCTGTATCTTTTTTATTAGTCCAACTAATTAGACTTGTCAAAGAGACACCTTGAGATAATTGGACGGCGCTGTCTTTTCCAAGTCCAACCACGAACTGCATTTTATGACCGGATACGCTTCCAATTAGCAAGTTGTTTGGGAGCGTACAAAAACTAGCAAAAGTTTCAAAGAAACGGTCTACATTAACTGATAAATAACGATGAATCGTTTTTTATACAATGGTTCCAAGTATCATACTTCAATAGTCGAACAAGAAGTCTAATATTCCACTTTAATTTTTTTAATCGTTGAAAAATTATTGAAAAGCGGCCACATTGGAAAACGGTGTCATGGTAAAATGTAAACACTGTAAAATCCATGGTGTAACGACAGGTATCTGGCGGCAATCGATTGTATTTGCCAAGCTTTAGTTATACAATTGTTTATGGTTATTATATGAATATGCAGGAATAACTTCTTAATTCACACACACAAATCAGTGTGCATTAAAAGAGAATGTGTAAAGGGAAATTATGATAAACTTACGTAGAAATTAAATATTTATATGCCGATGTCAAATCATCTCGCATTAAGTCGTTAAGATTGTCAACATAGATACATAAGTTGGCATCTATAACACGTGAATTCAATAACGTGAAATTTCTGAACTATCCTTTATTTATAACCTCTGCCATATCCCACATACGAACTATACACAGTAATTGTAGTTACATCTTATGAATTATAATTAATCTTAACATGAATGAGAGCAAAGAAGAATTCAAGTTTATATTACACTCTATAATCATTTCTAGTTTATTATATTTAAAGAATTGAGGACGGTTTGTTCTATGAAGTAATTCAAAACAACCAAAAATAACTTAAACCTGAAAAAAATCTTTAAATTCAAAATAAAAATGTGAATTTCCAGATATCCCTGCAGTTAAAATATAATTGCGCACACTATTGTACAGGTTTATGAAAAAACACAGCAAGCGGAAATTAGTTGACCGTTATTTAGATGTGAACTATCAATACAATTAACAATGGGAGAAATTTGAACGACGTCCGGCAAAAGCACCAACATCTGAATACCTCATTAAAAATGATTACCATGGGTACTAGTTCCCGTTGAACGGTCACCTCGAATGTGTCACATTCGAAATTCCATGACTTACCGCCGTATTATGCGTACACATCCTGTGGATTTGTATTTAAGAAATTCAAACATTATTAGGTTAATTGTGATCAATTTGTTAAACCGGGCGATAAGGGTACACTTGAACCCAAACCGTCTTTTGGCACTTCTGTGTATTATGTTTGTATTTTGCAGTTTTCAGGCGTTTTTGTGGTCTTTTATGGAAGGGTGATAACATGAATGTGATAAATTTTTCCTGTTTTCTTTAACATTCTTGCTTGCCTTGCGCGACCTGTATTGCATAATCATTATCTGTTGTTACGGTCGGTATACTCATGTATACAATATGATCAACAAGATGAACAAGGAAAGGCGTTGCGTTCAATTGAACGCAAACCCCACAACGTACCCATGAACATGAAACCATTGGCAAGGAGCCCACGGAGGATCTAAATTAAAAACGGGAAAGGGCGCTAAGTGGAGAGCACGGTCAGCTGCCTTGATCACTAAAATGTAACTGAGAAGCGAATATCATCATCAGAGAAAAATAGATAAATGAATGATTTAATAGGACCACAAAGTTAACGAGCACAGTGGGAAGTGGGATAGGCGAAATTCGGGCGAGGGCGAAAAAAAAGAAATAAAACTAGGGCAAAGGGAAAGATATTATCCATAAGACGAAAAACAACAAGGGAGCAGGTCAAACAAAAGTGTCACCAAAAAACAGTAATGAACAGGACCACAAGTTAACGGGCACAGTAGAAGGGATAGGAAATTTGGGGAGGGCGAATAAAAAATAAAACTAGGGCCAAAGGAAGAAACTAACAATAGACGAAAACCAACAAGGCACAAACAAAGTGTCCCAAAACAGTATGAAACCAACAAGACATACACCTATACATTTATAAGTCCTGTAATCTGTTTCAATGTTAAAATTCGATCTCTCAACTGAACTTTGTTTTAAATATCCTCTACATTAAAAATTTTATTTCAATTATAATTGTGAACCTTCCTTACTAGGTTACATATTCAGCATATGGCTGGATCAAATAAAGTTCCTTTTTCAGTAAAGTTAATGAAAGTAGTCCAAGAAAAACATTTAACTTTACAATTAGGTTAGTATGTATTTATATTGAGATCCGCAATAGCGGTGAAAAAGACTCTCTGTAAATAGTTTTTTACAAAACTGAATATATTAAGTGTATTCAAATAGTTCCTTTTAATATTTTCTTTACTTCTTTAATTGTATATAAAAGTAAAAAGTTAAGTCATATTTGTTCCGAGAGTGACATGTGCATCCATTATGCCAGTATAACAAGAAGTCAAACCAACTAATTGATTAAATGTTGAGTATAGTTATTAAAATACTTAAAAAATATTAAACAACAAGTAACGTTACCAGAAAGCCTATTTGCGTACCAATTGGCATTTGAGGTTTAAACTAACAATGATACTTTCATATATAATTTTAATAATGCACACATTTATTAAAAAATAATGAATTAGATTTATTTCCCCCGAGTAGTTTCGTTTTAAATTAGCTCTACAATTGGCGTAAACCCACACTTACCTGCTAGACACACTGGAGCTACTACCAGCTTTCACAGAATCGATGTTTACGTATGACGTCATAAAATTCCCCGAAGATAGAGTACAGTAAACAATTGAAATAAATCGCATGTACTGCGTTAAGACAGGTACATCATTAATATTTTATCTAGAGAAGTAGTACTAAAATTTATATTCTTTGATCTTTAGAGGTAATATTGAAGTTACTTTTCAGGTTAAGCAGTAATCAGTCCAAAACTATCGATAGTGTTACCTGGTAGATTCTTCCGGTGCGTTAAAATGATCCAAGTTAACAATTAGCGTACGTTTGACAGTAAGAAAAAAAAGTCGTAAAATGGGTTCCCGTTCCGCCAAATACAGGCTAGAATCTACTTTTTTTATATAAACACTAGATCTACTTTGTGATAAAAATAATATGTAAGGAAGAGAACCAAAAATTTTTAATAAAAGAAGAACACAGTTCATATCGTATCATACCTTCATGAACGATAATAAGGGAGATATATAAACATACGTAATTTGTAAACAAAGAAACGTCGCCATTTTTTGACATTTCAAAAAGTAGATCCATTTCATTCATCCAGTACATAACTCACCTGTTAATTGAGTGGCAATGTCAAAACTGGTCATACAACCGATTAAAGCTCTCCTGTTATAACAAACTTACTGATCCCTCGTCTGGGAATTAAGATGAAAGCAGATTTCTTTTGAGGTTATAAACAAACTTTTTCTAACTGAATAAAGCCGGAAGTGTTGCGAAAGTTGATGACGTCTTGAATCAGATATAAAACTCGTTTTATACGGTATCATAACCGGACAATCAGAGCTAATGAAGGTGCCGTACTCTTTACAGTATTTTAGAGTAAATCATTCATATTTGAGGCCTAATTTTTGGCGTATTCTGTGTCCCGAATCTCTTTTGAATATTATACTCTCCAACTTTAAATATCAAAGACTATTCAAGTAAAATGATACCAACAATACATTATCAGAGTTGTCTTCATCTCTGATTTAGATTTTTAAGAAATGTTTTAATCTCTGAAAAGTCAACTAACGAAAGCAGCCCCCAAACTATAACGAGCTAAAAAAATTACACGCACACCACACGCATTCACCGACGCAACGCTACACATCACACACATCACACAAATTGAAAAACATCCAGATATTAATCAAAACACACTGATTAACGCGTGGCATCAGAGATGACATGGATTTTTTATTATCTCGAAAATACTATTTTCCGTGCGGTCGGTACTTTATGTCGTGTCGCAAGAGTTACTATTAAGTTCCGAGCGGGCACAGATAATTTGAGTGGTAGCGCCGTGGCTCGTGGCCGACGAGTTACTAAGTCGGGTCAGGGATATGATTAAGTATCGGGTGAGATACTTAAATGGATTCGATAATTATATTAAATATATCCAATGGCTATCCATTTTCTCGTCCCTTTCCGTCAACTTCAGAAAAGAATCATAACTGTAATACGTTGAAATCTTTCCGACTGTACAAATCAAACTTTTCTTCAATTGTGGTCATTAAGATCATTATCAAACCAGTTCAATTTAAACTAAAACATAAAAAATATTTGAACATTATTGACGGTACTGTTATAAAATATAACGCAGCAAGTGGCATATCCCGCTAAAAAACCGCTTAAATTACCTCGGATCTATTTTTTAAACGTTGAAAATTGATCAAATGATCCGTCTTATTTTTTTTTAATTTCCAGTTAATTTTCAACGGGTTTAAACTTTAATGCTACCTAGCATGTCTTCTTTTGGCAAGTTTATGCAGTCGGAAAACTTATCAGAAGACTGACAAAAGGACAAAAAGTTGCGATTGAAAATTTCCATTTTGAACAAAATAAGAAAAGATTCAAGTACGAATAATTAATCATCCGCGCAGTCTGATCAGGATCCATGCTGTTCGCTTACCGACCCTAATACAAGTACAGAAACTGATAGCGAACAGCATGGATAGCGAACAGCATGGATCCTGACCAGACTGCGCGGATGCGCAGGCTGGTTTGGATCCATGCTGGTCGCAAATCGATTATGTTGGTTTTGTCGTGGCGCGGCTCATATATTAACCCTTAACCTGCTAAAGTGAGTCGCCTTTTCCATCATTATAGAGCCAGGCCTGCTATACATCCACACAATATGACAGGCTTACAGGCTCTTTACTATTGGTAGCTTATATTTTGTATTCTGATTTTTTAAATCCCTTGAAATTCAAATGGACTGTTCAGAATTCAAAGCTGGGCAAATCCATTATAAATACTCAACAGGTTCATAGTTAACTACTTTTGAGTTGTGAACTTGTGAGATACAGACACCTCCACAATAAGGCCACCCGTTACTCCGTTTACAAGATGACTGCCCATCCCATTTGCCTCCTTTAATATGATTGTGCTTTGATACATATACTATTAATAGATGTTGCGATTCGTTATCTGGTAAATATTGAACTATACTTTCACAAATATATTAATTGAATATCATTTTTTGAAAACTAGAGATTAAAAATCAAATCCAAAGTCAAATAAATATATAGGGTTAGGTAAACCATCACTGAATATAAGAATTAAAGCGGGTTGCAGCACAGTATATGACGCTGAAAAATAAATAACAAAATGTTGACTTTTCCTTCCAATATTCATTCAGGATTTTGACTGTTTTTGTGCCACAAAATGACTTCCTATCCATACCGTGGAAATCGGACGCGGAAACCTTCTCTAGCTGGCTGGTTTCGTTTAGGCGCCAAACATAGGAGCGAGCAGTGACCAAACATTGCGACGCTGTGACCTCGTATCTGGAGATTTTTAACGAAAAGGAAACAAACAAATAAATAAGAAAAAAAAGAAACAACCGAGGAACGCTGGCTGGGGTTACCAATGGAAGGTTCAATCTGAACAAGCCCCCGCCTAAATCAGCCGGCGTTTACTGGTTTAAATATTGAAGCAACATGAAAAACCCCATCGCTTGCGGTCATCACAGTCATCTTTACGTCATTCGGAATTAACTTTAAATAAAGAATTAATTTATTTTTCGTTCAAGCTTCGAATCAGAAGCTTTAAAGTCATTTTCCGAAAAGTAAATTTATGTCAAAAGGCAATGTGCAAGTTAAAATGCATTCAATCATTGACATATATAAATTTCACGTTATCTCTAGTGATGGTTATACATACAACATATCCCTGAACTTAACCGTCTTTTATCTTTCCCAAGCTGTTACCATATGAGGCCTTATTTGATTAGAGAGGGCCGATCAAAAAGCTAGCATGACCAATATCGACATCATTGTACTTGACTTGAAAACGTGATTTCCAGAACGTTCACCGCGCCTATTATGCAATAACGCATGTTTCGCAAAGACTTTGTTTTGTTTTTGTGTGTTGTGCAAACTGTTGTACTGGAAACTTGTAGTAATTTTAAGGCGTTTGTCAATAAGTTTGATAGTATGCAAATATTGAAAAAACCTAACCTCCAGATATTCGATAGGCACTTATGTACTTAAAGGGGGGCTTTGTTTTATCCGGGTATTGTTTTGTATTCGCATTTCACATACATAACTGAACATACGCCTCTATAAATACAATGCCAATAGAAATACAATTTCAAAAAGTCAACTTACACGTCTACATATGTCTACATAAATTTATGTTAGTGTAGAGTGTTTACACCATCGAGAGCTGAAATACAATCATATGTCATCAACGTGTTTTAAATTTACTCTACGTATAGCTTTCTCAATAGCATTTTTATAAAATGTATAATTTTATATAACAATTCTTGCAATTAAAATTATTCTAATAAAAATGGGACTATCCGTTTTGATCGTACATACTGCTTTGTGCTTGAAATTCCTCTAGGAGGTTTCCCCAACTACATTATAAATTTTTAACTTCCTTGCATGGTGTTTCGAAATAATACTATAATGGCACGAAATGGGTCCTAAAAAACGGAACCAGATTCGGCATTACAACATTTACTGTGTCACCGATAAATAAAACAGTCCCCACGAAAAACATCTGTAAAATTTATAAAATGAACTTTTTGTGGATCCACGGTGAAGCTTTCACCAGCACAATAAAAATTATTTATAAGTGAAGACAATATATTTATTCTTTTTATTAACAATATCTCCAGCGTACGGCAATTAATATATTTTCCTATATATATATTAGCCAGTGGAGCAAAATAGAGATTTTGGACTTAAACTCTACCGAAAACTGGACTTTCAAGTATGTAGCATTTAATGTATGATACATATCTTCCACTGTGTAAAGGTAGTATAAGTAATGTTTATTTGTTTGAGAGTAAACAAAAATAAAAAATCGTCTGAACTCTAGCGTAATTTGAACTTAAATGATATAAAAATAAGATCTTCTAACATACAGTCTTCATGTATAATAAGAATTCAAACTAAACGATCCATGCAATTCACATTATTTAGTAAAGTCAATCATATATCAATTGTTTAATTTTGGGTAATATTGTCGCATAGAATTGTTAACAAAGCAGTCGGAGTACAAGACCCTTGCCGCACTCATTGGATAGTTAATTAAACGGGATCAGTATCACCACAACAAAACTTACATGATTACATATCTGAATTACATACATGTAATAAGAATTGCGCACCCTTCAAGTTCAGAAAAAATCCACATTAGCTGGTAAGAATAGGTTTGTACGTATATCTGCAATCATAATGTTTGTTAATAAAGATTTAGAACACCCGAGATTTCATAAATAAACGTTAAATCTGAAACTTTTTTTGTGCGTTAATTATTCAAAAATGTAAACAGTCGTAATATTTTGACTTTAACCATTTATGGAAAGTTACCAAATATCGCAAAAGGACAACAATTGGCTTATGTATAAAAATATAAGTAACTTTAGAAATATATAGGATAAACAAAAACAGAAAAGCTTTAAAAATAATAGAAATAGCGTTTTTTGTTATTAATAGTGAGCCTAAATACGAATCTATTTAGCGATCATCATTTATGCTCGATATTAATCCTTTACAAAAACAGCTTTGTTATGGGGACAATACTGTGTAATTTTTCCTCAACAGAACATAGATAGTGTATTATTGTAAATTCATATATTTTAGAAGAATAACTAATAAGACATGCTTTGATATACTTTCCATATCACTATATGCATTTATTTCTTCAATTTTACATGACGAGTCTTTTTGAACCTGGATTACAATAAATTATGTGAAAAGTGAAAAAAGTTTGAGTTTTTTGTTGTTGTTTTTTAACATTGTCTTTTTATTACTTTATTTTTACCCTAATCATCACATACATGTACATAAAGTTTAGGTCTTGATATGTGTTGTAATATACATGTATTTATAACTTAATTTGAATTGAATGCGGGTTTTTCTACTCGGGTTCTATCTGCCAACTGGAACAATGCCCGGATGGGCATTTCTGGAAGTCCACCAGTTACGTTGCTCTATGACTTATCTAATGTAGAAATAAAAAAAAATAAAGAACAATAAATGAACAAAGAAAACTAAACGTCGAAAGCTAATGAAAAGCGTTTGTTTTCATTGAACTGATGTAGAAATGATATAATAAATAATGTTGGCCTAATAAGGTCGTTGTTTATGATAAACTCGAAACTGCTTCATGTATGTACATACTAGACCATTGGCAAATTTATTACCATCTTGATAAAGATAAAATATTGACAATTCCAAAAGTATCTAGCTATTACATCGTAAATTAAAAATCTATTAAGGTATTTCCGGGTGC